ATCCCATTTAGTCATATTCAATCATATATAGTGATTCAAAAAACTATTTGAATATTGACATATTTTGAAAAGAATGGTATATTAAAAATGAATTGTAGTGATTGATGACATGTAATTTTTATAGCAAATAAAGTACTCTTTTACAGCTATTAAATGAGCCTAGATTGAAAAGAATCCATTAGGTAATTGTAGAGCTATAACCAATCTAATTTGTAGTATTGAAATAAGTTTTTGAATGTGATATTTAATTTTTGGATTCTATCAATTGTTCAACATTGTAGCATTCTATCATCATCAAATTTACTATGACAATATTATTACTAATCTAATAACATCATAAATGCTTATTAGCAGCTATAAAAGTACCATTCTTAATCACAATTCCTAGTACGGACATATTCCAAATCACTACTTTTTAGGACCTTCTAGAATCTTCTATAAATTTCTAGAACCTTCTAAATACTTGTAGAATCTTCCACAATCTTTAAGAAAGTTCCATAGTATTCTAAAAGCTTCTTTAGTCTTTTAAAAAATTCCATAGAAAGTACCATAGACTTTTGTAACCTTCATTGTCTTTAGAACCACTTTTGCTATCAATCTTATTCTTTGTCTTTAATCTTGACATATTTCCTTGTCAAATTCTTGTATCTTTGAAAATTCCTTGAACAATTATGACATCCATTCTTCCTTCTTTTTAAGACATCACTTTTGATCTTCTTCATTCTCAAAAATCTTATGGCCAAATTGCTTTTGAATTTGGCTATAATAAAGCTACTATCTCTAGGCTAGCAAAAAAGATTATTTTTAATAGACAAAATCTTAAATTAGGTAGTTCAAAAAAAATCATTGTAATAGATGAAAGAATAATCATTTGCCAAATCAACACTGCAAAAGTTGAAAATATTGTTGAAGTTGCTAAAAACTTCAATAATATTATCAATAATCTTGTGTCAACCCAAATTATTCAAACTATTTTTAAGAAATAGAATATGAAAGCCATAGTGAAGAAAAAATAGTGACTATTATCTACCGACCATTAAAAACAATGCTTGGATTTTACTTTGAAGTACAAGGAATGGCCTATAAAGGATTAAAAGAGGGTTATTTGGTCAGATGAGACAAAAATCAATAAATTTGGATCAGATGGAAAAAGTGGGTTTACAAACAAAAGAATAGTCCTCACTTGACAAGAAACTCCAAAAAACAATTAAGAATGAGGGTGAAAATATAATGTTATGGGGTTATATGGGATGGAATGGAATTGAGAAGATGGCAAAGGTTGACGGGATGATGGATGCCAAGCAATTTGTAGAAATTCTTAAAAAAACTTGCTCCCTAGTATTGAAGAATTTGGCATTTTTGAAGAAGAGATGATTTTTCAACAAGATAACGACTTTAAGCATAATTCAAAATTACCATGGAAGTAATTTGATCATCGTGGAATTAAAGTAGTGGATTAACCTACTTAATTTTTTGATCTTAATTCCATTGAATATCTTTGGGAGGACCTCAAATACTAGCTCAATACTTAGAAGATAAAACCAAAGAAAGTTTGGAAATTATAGAAAAGAATAGCTATAGAATAGAATAATATTGAAGTAATTTTGTATCAAAAGTTAATAAAAGTATGCCTAGGAGGTTGGAAGCAATTATCAAGGCCAAAAGAGGTCCTATAAAGTATTGATATGTAATTGGATATCACATTCAAAAAAAAAATTCAATACTATTCTAAATTAGAGTAGACATAACTCTACAATTATCTAATAGATTCTTTTCAACATGAATTCATTTGATAGCTGTAAAAGAATACTTTATTTTTTACATATCATTATTCATTACAATTCATATTTTCAATAGAACCACATATCATTATTCCATTGATAGTTGTAAAAGAGTACTTTATAAACCACATATCATTACTCACTACAATTCATTTGTAATACACCATTCTTTCTAATATGTGTCAGCATTGAAATAGTTTTTTGAGTCACTATATGTCATCCGGATACTTATAGAAAAGACATCAATAAAATAAGTGCAACCATGCTTCTACAAAAAATGAAATTGACCACATCTAATTTAAGTACAACATATGACTATAATATATTTGAAAGCCTTCACATCAATTGAACATGACTCAAAGGCAATAACAAAAATTTCTATTCTGGTAGATTAAAATAACTTCTTAATTTTGCATTGACTTAATTAATATGCTATGTTGAATGTACTAGCAAATCTAGGAGATTAATGATCATTTAGAAGTCAACAACTCAAAATGCATAGCAATAAAAATCTTAAGCAATAATACTCATAGAGCCATTGCACTTTTATATTTGGAATCCCTATTTGATGTAAAACATGTTATGAGCTCACCAAAATACTCTACAATGAAATGAACAAGTAACACAATTCTTATTACAAAATGAAGGATGAGCATCTTGTACTTTGACCAACTCTTATTCTAAGATTGATTTAGAGAATATACAATAGATAGCGTCTACTGTTTAGAATTGGATATACATATGCCATATGATTTAAAGATTGCATTTCAAGAGCATTGATGAAATGAGTGGAATTTGTTGTTTTTTAATACAAACAAAAAGAGATAGAATTGCATCTAGCTTTGTAAATGCTTTTAATCTTTAATACAAGGATGTTATTCATGAGGTTAATAAAAAATATATATATTTTTTTTAAATCAAAGTTTGCCAAGAAAGTAGGTACAATGGAATTTCCATCAAATTTTTTATATGAATAGAAGTGACGGATGAGGTATGTGGCATTAGGTATTTTTCTAGGCAATTCATAGTAATACTTTGCTTGAGGTTTAGGAAAGAAGCACAGAATGGTGACATAAGAGTGAGCTAAAGCAAAATCCATAGATCTTAGAAAGTTGGATATATTTTCTATAAGAAATCTATAATTGGTATCTAATATTCAATTAATGCTTGTCAATAAGTTGATATAGCTTACTATGGACCTATAATCAATGCTTATGAAATTTGCAAAAATAGTCAATGTTACTATCATTCTAATGGCATATTACAATGTACTTTCTTAATATAATCATGGTATAAGAAGTTAATATTATTAATCAACAACTTTTGTCTAGAGAATGTAAGTTACTTCAATTATCATGCACTTATTCATCAATGACTAGAACCATTTTATTCATTGTAAATTATCTAAACTTTAAACATGGATAGTGGTTCTATTTTCATATTCCAAAAGAATTGAAGCAAAAAATACGTCATGATCTATGCAGTAAAAATATGAACTTTTAATGGCCAAAGGCTTGAAAGCAAGCATGAAACATTGCATATATGCTTATGATGGAGTACTCTCCTTGCATATTATTATTGTGGTTTACATGGAATATAATATTAATGATTCTACAAATAACTATGCCTTTCAAAAGTGATCCATTTCCAAACTTATCACTTGGATTGGTTTAGCAAGTTGATATAAATTGACATATCCCTATCACATGAAACTAGCACTTTGTGAGTCATTTGAGAAGGAACTTGTTGAGTGAAACCACTCTTCTACTAGTACATAATTTTGATTGCACAAATTGTTTAATCCAATTATTACTTGATATTGTTTACTTCAACAATAATAAAGAACAAATTAGTGACAATAGTTTTTGTCTCCATTTCCATCTACATTTGATACACACAACTTTCATTGATATATCATTTGTTACAGTTCTCATAAGTGTTCTTTTATTATAGTAATATATGAGCCACTTGAGAAATTGATTGAAGGATGAAGCATAGCATAAATCCTCAAAACTTAGATTGAAATATAGATTCAAGGTATGATTCATATCATGTGGCACTCAGTTTTCTACATTCAAGTTGGTGCATGGTTTTGTACTTCTAAGTCTGTTTTTGATCTTAGTTCACAACAAGTCCTCTTTGGATTTCAATTCTTCATGTTTTGAGGTAATTTTTATTAAAACCTATTCTTAATCCCTTCTTAAAATTTTCTATATCAATTATTTATCTTATTTACTTTAATTTGGCTCACTTAAGCCCCTACAAAGTAAATAGTAGTCTCTTCTTCAAGAAGGCAGCATTAGCATTTATTAATTTTTGCTACCTCCTTGTCTATTATCTATATTTCTAAGATAATTTGCTAAAATATTTTCATTTAAGCTTCTCTATAATATAATCTTTCCTTTCTTTCACCATATAGTCATGCTACCACATGACAATGGTTGCTATAAAATAGATATCCAATTAATGCTTTGTATAAGATGAAAAAAAATTCAAATAGCTCCTTATACCAAAATATTTTAGTATATCTCAAATCTTTAATCCTATTAAATTGCTCATGAGTGGTTTTTTGTGTGTTATTTTAATAACTCAACACTCTTAATATTGTACCCTTCTTATCAATATTTTAGGGACTCCCAACAATTGATTACCTATCAATAAGTTGCTCACAAAATGCAAGACAACTACTCAACATTTATATTTGTAGACACTTATGGATAAACAAATGAAATATAAATGTCAAAGTGCAAATTAGATACATGTTTTGCAAAATCATGTGGTTACAAGTTGAATAACATTTAAAATAAAATACCACAATATAGTCAAGCACTCAACAAATAGTTTAAAAATTCCCAATTATCAGATTGTCAAAACAAAAGTAAGTATGCTACAAATATTATACTTTTCCGTTGCATGCAGTTTTACCATCAGTGAAAAGGCGAACAGTTAACTTTTGTCAAAGTGTACAAATATACATCAGCAGATATATCAAAAGTATGTGATTGTATCTCTTAAATGTGCAGTCTCAACCTTCTCTAAATCTTAGAATGTAACACCAGGAACAGAGAACACAGCAGGACTATCATAGGCAAGGTTTATCTAGTTGTTCAATGGTATTCTTATTTAATTTGTTTGTTTATTTTTGAAAGAGGAGATTTTTTGGTTCAATACTCCAATTTTCAGTTCAATATTTCAAAAAAAACTCTGTACGCCAAAAGATTATAAAACTTCACTCTATACATGAAGACAAATACACTGAACGTGTAGTTCAGACTAGATTTGAAACTTATCCTTTCCTAAGGTAAAGAAAGTTTCAAATAACAAAATGAACATTTACGTGACAAAGGTGCTCTCTACAAAATATAAAGCCACCAGATTGGTGTCAATTGGCATCCATTAACAGCTTTCCAACAATTGTACAGATCAAAGTAGCAAGATCGTGCAATGCAACCTGTTGATACCCAGAATAAGCAAAGCACGGCCTGCACAATGAGAGAATCTAAAAATATCCATACTTACAAAGAATAAATCAACGACTGGGAACTGTGCGATAGTGAAGGTATAGGTCCTCTGGTTTCTTCCAAACAAACGCCCTCACAGTCGCTAAACTCATATCAGGTGACAGAACCTGAAACAGAACACCAGCTTCAGTGCAAAAAGAACAGAAACTACTGAAAATGAAAACAAGTCTTGTTCTAACTGCCGCCAATTGAAGAGTATATACTCAGATCATCTGCAATACTTTAATGCATAATAAACACATGTATTCTTCATCAACAATTTAGCCTATCACCGCTAGGAACTAAACTTTGCCAGGGGACCAATAACAATACAAAAATTGAAGGCAGCCGTACTCACCTGATCGTTACATAAAATTTGCACGACAGGTTTTGTGCCTTGTGGCCAATTCCTTGAGCCAGGCCTAAACGTATTAGCTCCTATTCCATTGGCATTTTGTTGACCCGCTGAAGCATTTGACATTAACCCAGTTTCTTCAAGAGGCCTCTCAAAGAGTAACTTTTCTAATACATAGTTTTGGACCTGTTCAACAGACGGGACAGGGTGAGTTCTCAAGCCAGTAGAATGTAGAATATAAACTACACCTACGACTATGGTATGTGAATAGACTTTTGTTTAAGTTCACAACTGTCTCACTGTCCAAGTCATCAAACTACGAAATTCACAACAGCGCACCTTAAAAAGACCCCAAAGCTTTACCTAGTAACCCCATTCAACTATTATACGTATCAAACATAACAAATACGTGTGAAATGTCTAACTGAGAGTAGTTCAGAGGACTTCGACTTTTATCTTCTGCAGAAAGCAGGGCAATGTAGGAAAGTTCATTTAAATCAACTCCTACAACGACCCGCTAGAGTCGTACCCTTGTTCTAATATCGAATGAAATATTCCTGTACAGGTTTAGGTTCTCATGCACACAAAATGTGCATGTTGGCCTAATACCCCATAACGACCTGAGTGTCAACACGCACGAAGAGATTACAAGTCTTAAATGCTTAAGTGAGTCATTCCATTGTTTAAGAATGAGAACTTACTTTGTGTATCCGGAGAATCCGTGGTGCACTTAACTTGCCTTGAGTGAGGACGGTGATTGTTTGACCTTCACATGGATGAAGAAAAAAGCTACACCTTTACACACAAATACACAAAGACTGAGATAAGCAACAACAAAACTACTGACAGAAAGACAGATGTACATCATAGACTCGTATGCTTACCGTGCACTGGTAAAATCGATATATGGATCCGTCAAAGCTTATCATGGGTGCAACAATTATACATCACTACAAATATGTTAAGAACCATACAATCTGAATTTACTAAATCAAGCTCATCAAAAACACCGCCTTCAATTAGATCTATACATTTCTTTTGGATATATCATGCTCAGAATTCTCAGTTTTCTGGCACTGTACATACTTTGCATTTTCACGCTGAGACGAACGTCCATGAAGGACACAGTCGACACACCACCCTGGCAGATCCTTCTCATCCACTGTTTCATCAAGTTCAGTTGCTTTTTTCCTCCATGGTACACCCTGCAAGAGACGAGAAAGTAAGAAAGAGATTCTGCAACGTAAGAAGAAAGCAACACAAAGGCCAGAACTAATTGTTGAATGTCTGGTATCACATCCATGAGCTTTGGAACCAAACCCTGTCCTAAAAACAACATCCAAATGCTCTAAGAGTTGCATGAGCAGACAAGAGATATAGTTCACAAATCATCCTCCATTCTGAAACTAAACCACTTTACCTGGGAGCATTCAAAGATGATGGATGGAGGAAACTGGGTTGAGAATTCAAAAGAACGCAGCACACGTGTCTGCTGGTTGTTCGGCTCATGTTGAGAGTCATCCAAAGCTGTTAGCCGACTTGAGGCATGTTCCCCAGCTCCAGAACTCAAACTGGGACTAACATCCCCATTTGGGGTGGCACGTGCAACTGCCTTCGTTCGCCTTTGAGTTAACCAGTGTGCAAGGAGCCCACGTAGTGTTTCTTGACCAATGTTCAACTACATTTTCATGTATCACGCACAATATTAGGCACATAGAGGAATTAGAATTCAAAAGTCACACACTTGAACTCGTTACGATGGGCCAGGAATAGAATTCATTAGAGAAAGAGGGAGACGGCACCAGAAGTAAATAAGCAAATTCTGAAAGACGAGAGACAAAAGAGCGAAAGACAATGAAGAGGCTAGCTGAACCATGGAGATCTAAAAAAGCATCGTAAGGCATCATACTAATATTAACACTGAGTAACCTCTAGCCAAGTGAAGAAGATTATACGGTTGAAACCACTTGAATAATTGCCCACACACCATCACACAAATACTGTTCCTAGTACAAGGGAAGGCAGTTGCTTCATCCTCAACACACCTACTCCAAGATTTTGTATAGACCACGAAAATCTGGTTACACCAATAAAATATGCATTCCAAAGTAGATCTTAGGTCATCTCAAACCAATGAACAACACATAGCAAGATTTGCATGCAGCACATGCACGTAAACTTACCTTGAGTTCTTCTGAAGCACCAGGGACGTGCAAATCAACAGCATACATTTCTGCTGAGAAACATTGAGGTGTGTCCAGATGCACAGACATACTTCCTAACCTTGTGTCCATCGTAAACCATGCTGGCACGCTCACCTGTGTCGCAACCAATCTCTTCCGTCATAAGTTACATCTTGAAATAAATCCCAACTTGTCAACAATAATACAGCACAAGTCCAGTGAAAATTGGCATCTACTCAAAACGAAGAAAACCAAATCTGAGGGTTGATGTGAGTGTTATTCAAATCTGAGGGTTGATGAGGCACGCTGTAGAATAGGAGAAAAATGCAAATTTCTCATCTTTCATTTCTGCAGAATCTATGTCACTTGCTAATACTGTAACACGTAAAGCACTACGAGGATGGTTACTCAGCAGCTGAAGAACCAAAATTATGTCATTATCTTAGTGCTTCACCAAATGAATTCTAAGTGAGGAGAAAAATGAACCCACCATTTCAAACAGTTTCTTCTCTTTCTCTTCAAAATCCACCTGCAGAAGGAAATTAACTCAAGTAATTTCAGAAATGGTATCAAAGTATGTAAAGCATAGTATAATAGAATCTTATCGAAAGCACGTATGTTGATGCTGCACCATATGCAGATTCTAATCAACTATTGCGAAAGTGGACAGGATTCTACCTTTCCATAATCCTCAACTACAGCTCCACGTGTAATTTCCCAGCGCTTCACAATGCATGCCGCGTCCTGAAGAAACATTAAAATGTTCAAAGTGCACGAAGCTTACTCTATTAAATGCTGCAGGGCTTGTGACAGTTAGACAAGAAACTTGAGAACCTACCAATAGAGGGTAAATCTGCTGAAGTGATTTAATTCCATTCCACAGTAGTTATCATGACACAAAAATAATATTAGTATGAAAGGCGTAGCAAACCTTGGTTAGAACGTGACGTCGATCATTTAAAATTGCATGCTGCACAATGCAGGAGTTCCACGAATCACTGAAGTAGGCTGACTGTACAAAGGAACCTGTTATTGCAGAAGTTTATTCGAGTTATTCAGACAGTAAAACATTCAAAAAGGAAGACACTGATCCCAACACATCTTAAAATAATAAAAAAGTTCAAGCAAATTAAAGGTTTGCGAAAAGGAATTGTATAACGTACAGGAGCTGATCCATCTATATTTGCTCTAGCACGAGCAAATGGAAGTAATCCAGCAACGAATGAGCTGGTTCTTTGTAAGGTTTTAGTAGCAGATCGCTCACGTGCGGGCCATTTATGGAGTGAGGAGTCGGTAGTTGCCGCCCAAAGCCATTCGTCAACTTGTAAGGCCAATCCCAACACTGGATGTTCCTCTTTACAAAGTAAAATACTTTCCCTAGTAGACAAGTCCGTGAGATATACCTGATTCAACCAAGATAGAATGAAGGGAATTAATCTAAGATTATGACCAGTCAATATATGTGTCAACTGATTTTAAAATAAAAATTAGACAGAACATTCAGCAAGATATCGAAGTGAAAATTGAATCACTGTGAATTCATTTGTGTTAGAACTTGTGGATATTTACAAAGTAATACTGTCGGAAACGTGGTGACCCCTGTAATTATCAAATATTTACAAGATGGGTAAATTGTGATGATTAACGTGAACAGAACTGCCAACAGCCAAAAGCATTAAGTAGTCCTTTAAAGAACTTACAGAGAAGTCGCGACCACTATACACATGACTGAATGATGGCGTGCTTGCAAGGGCCCAAACAGAATCAATGTGAACCGCATAAGAATGAATGCAACGTTGTTGCCCCAAGTCCCAGAGCCTGTATGTGCAGAAAATGAGAGATTTCTCATAAGTAGAAAAGAACTCTTACTAGGTGGTCGAATCAGATAAGCAATTATAAACCGGCAACTAGCTCATACATAATACCCTCAAAAAGGACTAATTTTCATTTTCAATAATCGAACCTCATCTCATTTTCTCAATTTGTCTTACAGATTCACCCAAGAAGCAACGATTTCTGGGACCAATGTCAATACGAAGCTGCAAAGACTTCCAGTATCATATACAATGGATCTCATTCAAGACTACAAGCCATTGGCTACTTGAATCCTTAGAAAGCATATATACTAATCATTAGCATTTGGCACCAGAACGCTTAAAAGAGAGAACGTGAAACCGTTAAATGAACAGTAGGTGGCATGCTAGACCAGATGATGATAGAACTAACCGTATCATGGAGTCTGATGACCCTGATAAGCAAAGTCTCTATACACTCAAAAGCAAATGAGAGTTGAGTGCAGCAAACATATTACCAATCAGAGATTACCATTAGATAGCCAACTGAGAAAAAAATGAAGGGATAATTTAAGGAAAAAGCATCTACTTAGCATAGCCACCTGCCAGTAGGGTCTAGAAGTAGAGCTCGAACATTGTCAGTGTGACCTTTTAGTTTCATTTGTTTAGATCCAGTTCTTGGATCCCAAACTCGGACAACCTACACGACTCAGAACAGGTGAGGTTACAATTTGAAATGGAACTTCTAAATCACTTCTCTCGAGTTGCAAATGTGAAAGAGTAGTAGTCAGGAATGGACACTTTTCGAATAAAATAAGCTGGAAACGTACAACTGACCTTTTCTGTACCACCAGACACCAAAATGGTCCCCATACCATTCATGGAGAGAGCGTATACAGACTCTTTGTGGCCTTTGGCAGGTAGAGGAGCATAGCCTAGTGAACTTTTCTGTACAGAAGCGGCAGCGACATGGTTGTTCGAGGCGATTGCACGATCATCTGAAAATATCGTGTTCTCAGAAACACGCCAAGCTAAAAAGAAACTTGACCACAAACAGCATACTTGTGCAATCGCTTCGTAATACCTGCAGAATGTGTTTTCGCACCAAGTTTGAGCCAGATCCACTAAAAGATTCTAGAAAGCAAAAACTCACGTTCAAAATTTCCATCCTCATTGGCATCATTTTGCGCTCTAGCAACCGGCACCACAGCAGCTTCTAAATCCCATATGAAAACCTCTCGACTCAACCCACCAGAAGCCACTGTATTATTCTGGACACACACAACCGATAGTAGGAGCAGTTTTAAGCTCAACGTGTACAGAAAAAAATCTAAAACGCCTCACACATTTATTCAAATAAAATACTGTAGATCTTTTACACTCTTGAGTGAACGCTTGAGTTCAACTAAAAGCTGTAAGATGCTCGTTTTCATTATCAGACAGATAAAGAAAACCTACTCTTCAACTTAACAAACATCGCAAAATATGTTTCTTAGAAGCCTAGTTCCACTACACAAAGAAAGGTACTTTCGGGAAAAGACTTTATTTTAAAAATTTACAATGCAGGTGGGAATTTTCAGACTCACATGACGGGCAGCAGCCAGTGAAGTCACATAATCAGGATGTTCCCGAAAGGTCCGAGTACATTCGCCGTCAGAAAAAGGCTTCCAAGTCTATTATCAAGCATAAATCCAAGGGTCAACAAATGGTGCTCGGAATAAACAAACAGAAACTTTGTGAATTTCACCATGTCCTCACTCAAGCCTTGACTGATCTCAAACCTAAATCTAAAACCCAGATCAGACTGGATGTAAAGACTTAGAAGGGAATAATGTCATAGAAATGCTAGGAGACTGTATGAGGAGGATTGAACTTATCAAGCCGGAAAACCATTAAACCTTCAGTGTGGTGTCCGAGGAGCAGGATACAAGAGTATTATCACTGGTGACTACGACATCGTTAACCAGCAGAAAAATACCAAACAGCTTATTTTCCGCACACATGTTCAACACAAATAATAGGACGACCACACTCGAATAAAGAGTTAAGAATTCTGATGCACAGGCATCTAGGAGGATAGTTTTAACAGTTGGCTTGCACACGTTTCTACTCCAAAAGCTCAGTACTTGAATACAAGAAGTATATGTATTAAGAAGTGGTAGTGTCACAGTTTGGAACTGTTCACTGCCTATCACTCGATTCAAATCCCCAATTCTTCACACAATAAAAGCAAGACGTATCTGCTTAGTTAGTCTTCCCAAGGAAGACTAACTGATCTTAATTTGAAGTGCTAATGTATGAATGAATACCCAATCAACGTGGGATTCGAATGTGGCACCACACACAGCCTCATCCCCTCCAAGTTCCCACCTCTTCAAGGTTCCATCACGACTGGCACTGAACAGATATTCGCCCTCATTGTCGCCTTTGAAACCATTGGGAACAGTTACAGAATTAATTCCTGAACAATGCTGCAAGCCCAAAAACAAAAACGAAAAAAAATCAAAAAAAGAATGTCAGATGAAATTCAAGTGTGGAATTAGATTTTAACGGCGACAGAAAACTTCTCAACGTGACGACTAGAAGGTATTTTCAAGAAGAATGACAGGGTTCGAAAATGACAGGGTTCTAAAACGTCGTGTCATGGTTCACAACAGCTCAGCATCTCGTCACAGCTAAACAATTAAGATACAGTGACATAAGAGAACGTCAACTTCGACAACAAATGAAACAAATTTTTATCCTCCGAAAGAGAGCTTTAAGAATTCTATTTAACTTGTTAAAAAATGAGTACCTTGGAGTCATTGGAATCCCTTAAAACATAGGTCATACGCCGCTCTTTGCGAGGGCGAGTCGAATTGGCAGTGTTTCCAGTGCTACCGACCAGATGCATCTTGTTAAAATTATCACTACATCCCCTCCACCAGTCTGCAGTCAACTCTGTTCTTGTTCTTATCCTTTCTACAGCGAGGTTGGCTTACCAAAAGCAGAACCACAACGCGACCCTTGATCGGGACACGCAGCTCAAGGTTATCACAATTGGCACCTGCAAGAACAAAATCAAGCTAATCATTATTTGATTCCTAACCTGTAAAACGTGAAGCGTTCTCACAAAGCGAATTGCTTTGAATGCACGAGAAGGGGCATCAAAAAGATCCAATTCGCGCAATCCAAAGCAGACAGCGATCAAGCACTAACATGAATGCACAAATGTAATTTATGAAACTTGATTCACGACAGTTCGGCACTGGAGCATGGAAAATTCAGCAACCTCCGCATCAACCTTTAAAAAGTAATGTATCGTTTGAGTTTCAGGACATAACTTGCTCATAGTTGAAAGAGAAGGGACAATATGGAAACTGACGATCCCGAACCAATTCCTTGCAACGTACACGCTGGTGAAACTAAATTAGGTCAAGGATATCGCTGGATTGAAAACCGGATTAAATATTTTGTAACACGTAGACGAAGAATGAACAAACTGATAAAATTACTGCACACGGATGAAAGAATTGGCAATCATAGTAACAAAACAACGTCAAGGATGACAAAATGCGGGAGACGCTGTGCTCATTCACCACGACCATGCACCACGAGCTAAATAGGTCGAGTGTGCGTGGCAAACTACAATAAACCAGCAAACATATCCCCCTAACCTTTCTGCTTCCAAGAGTAATTGCAAGAACACTCCGTAGCACATAATGATATAACAAAAGTTGAAATTGCCAATCAAGTCTTCTCAAAAGATAGAACGAAAGGATATAAATGCTCAACCGGAAATGCACAGGGGGCAAGCAGCGCGAAATAATCGGGACCTTGCGAGGGACTTCGTGATTGGTTCGAGGCGCCCGTGATTCGATCGGGCTGACGACGATGAAGCGAAGTCAAATCGGGTCCGGTAGAAAGAGGAAGGTGAAAGAGCTCTAGCCAAACCCTTAAACGAGTCTTCATCGGAGTCCCGTGCCGTTGAGGTCCTGATTGAGGTGTCCTCCTGCATGCGTTCACACTCGCAGGGTACTACCATGCTCTGTTCACATACACACACACACTAAATATGTATATATATATATATATATATATAGAGAGAGAGAGAGAGAGAGAGAGAGAGAGAGAGAGAGAGAATAATAATAGATGAAGACAGAATCCTTTGCCTTAATGTCACTTTTAGGTGATCAATCACACAATAATATCCATCCACATGAGAAGCTGATGTGTTTTTTTTTTGGTAAAACAAATAAAACACATCTTTATTTTCGTGTCCTTGTTTGTTAGTTAGTCAGTTAGTTAGTTTGTTTTGTTTTGTTTTGTGTTGTTTTCTTTTTTTTTTTTTTTTTTTTTTTACCATATTATTTTAATTAAAACTATTTCTAAGATATCTATAACAAATTTCTTATTAAATGAGCAACAAGCCTAACACAATTTTTTTTAAAATAATATTTCTTGACAATATTCAGAATTGGTTGTTTTTGGTATATTTTTGATGTCAATATATGTACATATATACATACATACATACATATTGGCAATGTCATGTAGCAGCCGCTAGTGTACAAATATCAGAGGCTGTTTTCTAAGATCTTATTAGAAACTCGTGAATAGTAGTCAAAGCAAATATAGTCGGTCTGAATCGTATTCCTTTTTCACTGATTTATATTTAAAAAAATATTAAAATTCAGATTACATCCCTGAACTACAAAGCCTGAATATGGCGATTTTAATTCGATATATTTATATATATATATATATATATATGGGTAAGTGTGTGTGTAAAACACTACAAATCACTTATTTCGATTTAGGCATTTTATGAAGAGTACATTGCGACAAATCAAGTATTACAATTAGTAAACCTGAAAAAGTATGCATTGAAATAGCCAACAAAGAAAGCATAAAAAGAAACAATCAATAATTACATGCAAGACCCCCCAAAATAGACTAATCCCAAGCCATCTTTATCCTCCACATCTTTTACCTTCACATTATAGGTGATACGCACGATTGAAGCTGCAGTGTCGAATAGTGACACGGAGAGTCCAACTCAGCAGAGCAAAGTTGCTTACGTGGACAGAGATGGGGCACGCTTCGTGGGAACAGTGTTGCGGCGTTAGAATAAAGACTCGCTTAGCAGCGAGCGGGCGTGGACATGGCGCCGGTCCTCCTCGCCACTCTTGGCCCAAGGGTTTTGCTCTCACGTCATGAAATTTGTTGTTGGGGGCCTCGCGAGACTGATTTCGAGACTGATTACGTGCACGCGCTGGTTTTGGGTTCAGGGTCAGGAAGCGACGACTCGACCCACAACAGGTGGGTCTCGTCAAGGCAGGCTGCGTCAATACAGGTACTGATCAGCACTTCCAAGGTTGATCGGGCTGTCGAGTGGAGTGGGCTCTGCAGATTTTTAGGCTACGAATTCTCCTCTTCTATTGTTCGGAAGGTGGTGAACCGTTCATTCTTTTCATTACCCACGCGTCTCTGAACTGGCCGCCTGAGTGTCGGCGAACTTCCTCTTCTGGATTTGAATTTTGCGGATCTATTCCGTGGATGAGAAATTAGTGGGTCTGTTGGCTCTGAGTGAGCCGGGCTAATTGCAAGACAGAGACGATAGACGCGACTTGCCAAAGGAGATATTACGGTCATCAGAACGATTTGTATTGCACTCTACTCGCGACGGCTGTTGTTGAAACAGTCACTTTGCGATCACTAGTTTATGGCCTAGTCGCTTGGCAGTAGTTTATTCGAGCAATGTAAGACATGTCTTACTTTTAAGAAGCAGAGGACCCTAAGATTCGAAGCAATGCGGCCATGAAGTAGGATTTTTGAGTGGAATGGAGAGTTGGCATTTAGGGATATAGGTGAAATGAGGATGGGCGCCACTGTGGAGGAATGCGAATTGCCGTCCTTTTATGAGCTTTTGGATCGGTTCTCCCTCTTCGACTCATCCGCGTCGTCTGGATGTGACGTACAGGTCTCGAATTTTCTTTTTCCTCTTGCCATTTACTGCATTCTTCGAGTGTGAAATTTGTTGCTCGATTTGAGGACAGGCATTTCCAATAGGAATATCTTTGAAGTCTGAAAACGAGTTAGGCGTATTAAGGGCTCAACTTTTGGGGACCAGATTGGCAAGAATGGTTCTCTTTTCTGCAAATGTGAGGGGTGTATCCGATGGTCTGATTTTGTGGAAGGCCGTGACCCGTCCGACATCGAAGTCAAGTACGAGGTTTTCACACGGGAGCACGTTGCCGGGTTGGCGTGTTACTTGCGGTACGTGTGTGGACCTGATTTAGTCCTCACATGCTTCCATTTCGTTTCTTTTTTAGAGACCGATAAAGCATCCTCAAGCTTGTTTCTGTGACAGGACTAGAGCGGCAGAGTTCGAGCTCTCTGTCATGGATGTTCTAGAGGTATGCTACTGCTACAATACACTGGTTTAAGACTTGTGTGGAACAATATTACTAAACTTGAAAAATGCATTCCAATGATCCCTTCCACATCCGCTCGTTGACGATTACCGATTACGTTCTAGGCTAGGTTGAAAAACGAATTCGGTGTTTGGAGCCACGCAGGTAGGAGCAGGCAGCGGCCGTCTCTCCTACCATCTCAACAAATATCTATCCCAACTTTTCACAAAGAACCAGGTTGGTATACATGGAATACATGATTGTTATAACCTGGATTTTTTTTTTTTTTTTTTTTTTTTTTTTTTGGCTGGGCTTGGGCGGTCTTTCAATTCTTGTATTACGAAGAAGAAAATGCGGCTATTCATTCATCTCATCCTGCGTTTTTCACTATAAATGTACCAGCCATTTTCTTCCCTCTATGACTTTCATCTTCTTACATGAAGTGATCGTGTTCATTCTTCATTTTCATCGTTAGCTTTTACCCTTTGTGATTTAGGTCCCGTTTTAGGTACCTTAGTATCAGAAATCAGAGCACTCATGTAATTGCAGGAATACTAAGCTCAAGTCTAACTATTTTTACCAGGGTCCTGTAGTGAGAGTGGTAGCAACGGATAGTGGAGTACGAGGTCTCGATGGACCTTCAGTGAAGAAGGAGGACGCAATTGATGCCATATCTACCAGAAAAACACAAATCATAATCTCATCGTGGATGGTATTTTCAAGGACACCCACGTCGTTCACTCTTCTTGACCTAGTCTTTTGAATCCCTCATTGTTTCTTTTATGTCGACGGATGTTGATATAACGGATTTTCATAAGCATTGACACTCTAAAGGATTACCGCCCTTGTTTCCAACGGTGCCATTAGAAAATCTCCGATGATGACTTGTGATGTTGTAAATGGTAGCCAAGAAGCGTCGATTGGACAGCGCATATGAGGGTTCAGCAATCTGTCCTTGAGTACATACTTATAGGAGAAACAGTAAGTGTCTCTCATTGGTGTTATACTCTGTCCGTCATTTGCAAGTTGGTTGCTTCCTTGTACTTCACACTCTCATAATTTTTTCTTTCTTGAGGTTTGGTTTTGAGATTTTTCAAATAGGTTCTGACTACTCCCTTCGATGGTTTTCAGGACAACGGAATATGTGGGTGCCCCTGGAAGACATGGGGCTTCTCCTCGCCCTGGGACTGGAGCGACAGCGATGACAGCGACTTTGATGCCTCAGTGAGCATTGCTTTGCAATCACAAGAAGATGGATCTTGTCTCAGAGAGAGCAAAGAATCAACTAATGGCCATGACAGAACCCGAGGATCGATCTCGTCAAATAGTGGTTCGCAAATTGGAAGGACAAGAAGAGAGAAGCCGCTTTATGAGATTGATGGCTGGGAAAGATTAGAACTACACAGTCTAAGCAGATTGCAGTTATGCCGAACTGATGAGCGGTGGTCAAGCAGTCGGCATTCTCACACCGTTTCTTTCAGAAGGAAACAAGATGCAGCTGCTTGCTGTGGTCATACACTTTCACCTGGTGGATGGAAAATCGAAAACTCGTTCAGCGTCGAAGAATGACACCACTGCCTGAATGAGATCGTCGTATTGGTAAGCTGTGAACCCTGACGACATTTACCATGAACTTTATGAAGGTGTTGATCAACCAGCCAATTACTTGAATCATTAAACCTGTTACAGTTCGTGGACATGTTCAAAATCGTAAGACCAGTCAGAACAGTTGGTCCGATAGAATAAATACTAGTATTCTCGTAGAGGTAGAATTGCTACCTGCTCTCGAGACTCGTGCCCCATTATCGTCAGTTGAATCCATCGCCGGTTGTACCCTCATCTTAGTCAGAAGCATGAATAGTCTTTACTTCAAATGTTTCAAGGGTGGGGACCAAGCACTAATGGAAAAAATCCAACTTCTGTCTCTAGAGAATGAGGAGACCTTTCACTTTGACCGCCGGTGGCCACTGTATGCATCTTTGGTTAGTACATAAAGTTTTTGATAATTTTTTTAATGCAATCAACAGTGATATTCAAGATTTTCAAAACTAATTTCATGACATTTGTATGTATTAAAGTATGGTGTAGAATGTTATAGATTTTTTTTAAAATTTTTAATCTTATTTTTGAGAAAACCCAATAGTTGAAAAGTGAATTCAAAGGTTGTTTATGCACTCAGTCAGAGATAGAGTGAAATAGGTACCTAGATGGTATCCACTAGTTGGTATCCACTACTAAAAGATTTTCAATACCAAAAGTTTTAATAAATATTAAATTTTTAGCCTTGTTTTAATTGTTAAAAATATTTTTTTGTTTTATTTTTTTAAGTTTTAAACTTCTAATTATACACATCTATTTTAAATGCTTTAGAGTTTTTTAGCAATTGATTGTTATAAGTAAAGCACATATTTTAAAGCAATTACATAGCATCCAAGTTTATTGACATACATGCATTTTAGATGGATGAAATATAAAGGTCAAAGTACAAGTTGGATATTTGTTTTGTAAAATAATCCTACTAGTGTCACGGACACAGAAATACACACTCGAGATCTAACAAGAAGTTCAAGAAGAATTGGCAAGAATTAGATTAATCAGATGAATACAAAAACAACACCAAAGAGATGAGCTAGAATTCCAAGAGATGTATTGTTGAGACTGAAGAACTCTTCAACCTCAATTCTAATATATGCTCCTATTTAGGAAGCTTCTCAAGCAACTTCTACCACCTAGGAAGCTTCTAGAAGGTTCTAGAGACTTGCTTCTAGAAGGTTCTAGAAACTTGTCTTTAGAAGGTTCTAAGGACTATGTCCCTAACATCTTCTACGAACTAAGAAGCTTCTGGAAGGTTCTAGAAACCTGTCTCTAGAAGGTTCTAAGGACTATGTCCCTAATATCACCCCCTCCTTTAGCTTTGAGGTCTCTCAGAAGCAATGTTGTTGTTAATCAGTACCAACGCAAGAAAATGAAGATCTATCGCATAACGTCTGCTATGAACTCCAACTGTTGTTCACGAGGCAAGTAGTTCATCGGCCCTTGAAGCCAACGGTAGTGGCCGACTCCTTCAACTTCTGACCAAGCATGAACTTCCGTGTCCTTATTGTGAAATTATCCTACAAACACGCCTTCTGGCTGACCATCGTAAGTAGGCTCGGACTCAAATACTATCACCAGTGATCGGTTACTCGGTATCCTCCGTCATCGTCGTGGTGTATGCGGTTCTTCATCTCGGGGTCGCCTTCGTGAGCTAGTCGGTTGAGATAATCTGACTGGCATAGTATCTATCTCTTGGCTATCCATATCAGAAGACCAAACTATCGCTACTGAAAAAATTCTATTTTATCTTCATGAAAATAACTACATCAATTATGAATTTTGGTGGTGCTCTCCCCCTTTCTTATATTCTTGGGTGAGCAAGCTTCAGAAAGAAGCTATCGTCGAACCGGCTTAGGTTTATGAAGATGTTGTTGATGAAACTCCTGTGCCTTTTGCGGCGCATTGGCGAGATTTTCAGTTGGCTCCCACGTTCGCTCATTAATATCATAGCCGCACTAATGAACAAGATACTCCAACTTGCTCCACCTTCGTCGTGAATCCAGCACCTTTTCAACCTCGTATTCCTCGTGGTTCTTGACCTCAATACTAGGTGGTGGACATTGCACTCTTCCAAGAAAAGACGACTCTCGATAAGGCTCTAATAGAGAAACATGAAAGACTGGATGTACCTTCATAGAAGCTCGTAATTCCAGACGGTACGCCACTGGATTGTTTTGCTTCTGGATGATAAATGGACCCAATCATCGATAGTCCAACTTATCACATGGTCGCTTGGTCTTGATACTTCGTCGAAGAAGCCATGCTTTATCTCCAATTTTGAACGTAGGTGCTTGATTCCAAAATCTATCTGCAGACGCCTTGTAGGACTTTTGAGCGGATTGTAATTGAAGCTTCAACGTATTTTGAAGCTCTGATAGTTGTTTCGCAAATCCTTCGGCTACTAGATTGTTATTTGTTGACGAACTCAATAAATCAAGCTTCGGATGATACCCATAGTTAAAAAAGAATAGTGTATATTGAGTCGACGCATGGAGGGTGTTGTTATATACAAACTCGGCTAGCAGCAGATATGTGGTCCAATCGTCTTGCTGATACTTGATGCTGCATCGTAAGTATTGTTCCAAGACTTGGTTCACCCGTTGTCGTGTTGTAACACGAGTATACCATGAAAATATAAAGAAAGGGGACTTTTATTAATGTTCAGTTACCTCGAATATTGGGAGCAACGACCAATTTCAGTGCAAATACTGGGAGGCGAGGTTCAGTCACTCCGTTACAATCAGCCGGAACATACTGAAATGCTCCGTTCGATTCCAATAACGGGAGTCAGAAGGAAGGGAAAGGACCAATTCAACGACGGGTGAGTCTGGTTCGAAGAGCCAATTGGATCCAATTTCAAGACATCCAATCCAGGTTTTATCCAATATGAGACCTGAATTGGTCGGGCAACCCAATGCGATCCAACTACGGGAACATCCAAGTCTTGCTACGGGCCTCTTAGCCAATATGAGACTTGAATTGGTCGGGCGACTCAATGTGGTCCCGATTACTGGGGTTCCGATTCCGTTTCAGATTGTTTTGTCCTTTGTGCCGTTCTAGAAACGTCTTTTCGGTAAAAAGATTTCTTAAAGGTAAAAACGGAGGAGAAAGCTCTGACGACGGAGCCAATTGTGGATCCAAGATGGAAGGAGCCAATTCCGGATCCAAGACGGAAGGAGCCAATTCCGGATCCAAGACGGAAGATTGAAGAAATTCAAAGGCTATGGTTTGAAAGAGGGGAGAATTAGGGTTAAGAGGGAGGATAGGTTAAGAAATGGGAGGGGAGAGAGAAGAAGTGGGGAAGTTGTTTTTTAGAAGGATCAGAGAGGGAGCTTCATGCTTCTGAGTGGGGAAAAAAAATAGAGAATTGGGTTTTTTTTTCTTCATAGGGTTTTGAGAAGACTGAGGCAATCGTTGCTGAAGTCAGTGCTGTACTGGTGAAACATGGTTTTAATGAAGCGAGTATGATTACTCTTCACTATTTTGTGAAATCGAGGTTACGTTTGTAATTGAAGGATTAAAAGGGTGTCTATAGGATTGAGTATGCGGAGTGAATGAAATTTATTGGGTTAATCTAACGAGACGGTCAGTGGATACAAGATCGTGAGTATAAAGCGGCATCGAAGATTAGCAGTTTGGATTGTTCGGGGTTCTCTGTAACGTCTAGAGACCTACCGGCTGGGACAAAAAGGACTTCGACGAGCAGTCAAAGGACATCCGTATAGATTTACAGTGTATTCTTGTAGTTGTTTATATTCCAATAGTCAAAAATCGATAAACTGCTTGAATATTAGTGAATCTCCATACTACCTTCTACAGCCAGACGCTCGGCGCGTTCTCGAGTAGGAAAGCACGTAATATGACACCGTTCTGTTTGGCCTTCAGTTTGAGGATAAAAAGCCGAAGAAAGCTTGATATCCACCTTCAGTATCTCAAAGAGAGATCCCCAAAACTTTGATACGAACTGGGTTCCTCGATCTAATACGATATCATGTGATAGTCCATGATATTGATACATATTATCGAGAAAGAGCCTTGCTGTGACTTCACTGGATGATGTCTTCTTGCAAGGGACAAAGTGCGCCATCTTTGTAAGCCGATCTACTACGACAAAAATGCTATCAAATGAGTTCGATGATGGTAGGTCCGTGATGAAGTCTATGGAAATTGAAGACCATGGTCAACGTGGAATCGACAATGGCTGTAGAAGTCCATAAGGCCAATGTCGAGGATTCTTGGATCTTAAACACATGTCGCAGGAGAGGACAAAATCTTTCACATCCTTCCACATTTGGGGCCACCAAAAATCTCGAGAAATAAGCTCTAAGGTCTTGTTGAATCCAAAATGTCCCGCAGCTAGAAAATCGTTGCGAGATTGAAGTACTCGGAGTCGTGCTGGTCATTTTGGGATATATAATCGCTTCTCAAAGTATAAAAGATCTCCCTCCACCTTGAACTTGTTGTCATTGGCATGCTGCTTAATATCAATGGCTACTGAATCTTCAATGGTCACGGCATGTACGTGATTCAGGAAGTCAGCATCAATTGGCACAATAGTAGTACAAAGCTGAAACTACTCTGGCTTCAATAATGTCATACATTGTTGATCAAACGCTGCTTCTCCAGCCTTTGGTACAAGATACGATCTCCTCGATAAGGCATCAGATAGTCCTTGCTGCTTTCCAGGTCGATAAATGATAATAAAATCGAACCTAGATAGCAACATACTCCACTGAGTTTGACGTCGATTTAGAACTCGAGCCGACATGAAATATTCCAAATTCTTGTGATCTGTGTATACGGTCACTGGGTGTGCAGCTCCTTCAAGAAAGTGACGCCAATCTTGGAAAGAATCCACTATAGCAAGAAGTTCCTTATCGTGGATCTCATAATTGAATTCAGTAGTAGAGAACTTTCGAGAATAGAATGCAACCGGATGGAACTTCTTGTCTTCTCCCATTTGTGAAAGTACAACTTCCAAAGTAAAATCTGAAACATCAGTTTCTAAATAAAAGGCCTTTGTAAAGTCTGGATGTATCAAGATTGGAGCCGTAGTAAATGCGATCTTCAGGTCTTGAAACGCCTTCTCCGCTAGAGGTCCCCATTCCAACTTATCTTTGCATGTCAACTGAGTGAGAGGAGCAGCAACTTGAGAGTAATTCTTGATCAATATCTGATAAAAGTTGGCAAAACCAAGAAAGTATTATATGTCTCTAACAGTCTTCGGAACCTCCCAAGATACGATTGTTTTCTTTTTCTTGGGATCCATCTTCAAGCCTTCTATAGTCGCAACGAACTCCAAAAATTCCATCTCTATTTGGTGAAATAAACACTTCTCCAATTTGGCATATAGTCCTTGCTCGTGTAGTTTCTCTAAGACCTAACGAACGTGCTTTTCATGCTCTTCCTCATTTTTGGAGAATATCAGAATATCATCCAAATAGATGACAACAAAATCATCAAGGTGCTCTCGAAAAATGTCATTCATCATATGTTGAAAGACCGTAGGAACATTGGTAAGACCAAAGCGCATGACATTATACTCAAAATGGCCATACCTTATACGGAATGTTGTCTTCCACTCATCTCCTTCCTTGATTCGTACGAGGTTGTAAGCTCCCCTTAGATCAATTTTTGTAAAGATCCTTGCATATCTAAGTTATTCTAAGAGACCAGAAATCAAGGATAATGGGTAACGATTCTTCTTTGTTACCTTGTTGAGGCCTCGATAGTCTATGCACATCCGCAATGAGCCATCTTTCTTCTTTACAAATAAGATGGGTGCTCCAGCTCATGATTTTGAATGACGGATGAAGTTCTTGGTTAGGTTCTCTTCGATGTACTTCTGCAACTCCGCCAACTCCATCTGCGATAGATTGTAGATTGGGCCAAAAAGCGGTTGTGCTCCTTCTTATAAGTGTATGGCGCAATCATATGGTCTGTGTTCTGGTAGCCTGTTGGCATTTTTCTTTTGAAACACGTCTTTAAAATCCTTATATTGCTCCGGTATACTTGTTGTCGAGATCTTCTCTCCGGTAGTTGGAGCCGCATAAATGACAAACAGTGTGCCTTCCTTGGACGATCTTATAAACGCTCTTGCTCCAATGAATAAGGATTTCTCTATTTGGGGTTTTTTACTAGGCTTGGTCTTGGGTAGTTTTGTGGGAAAGGTCATCTTCCGCAACCTCCAATCAATGGATGGATTATGCTTTTCCAACCAAGAAAGACCAAGAATAACAGGATTTGATGGGGTTCTAATAATATTGAAAATAATATGACTACTATGGCCTTAAACGTCACTTCTATAGGTTTTGATTCATGGGTGATACTATCAGACAATAAAGGTCGCCCATCTATGACCTCAACGTGAACAGATTTGGATTTTTGTACTAAAGAAATCTTATGATGCTTCACAAATTCTTCGTCTAAGAAACAAGTAGATGCTCCTGAATCTAATAATGCTAAGGTTTTCAGTTTTTGAGGGCCAATAAGTGAAGAGATTGTAAAACAAAGGGCAAGTTGAGCGGAAAGAAAGGAACTTGGTTGTTGTTGCTATATTTCACTGTCCAGCCGCACGGTTCCTATTGTGACTAGGCATCCTCATTTTCCTGAATAAACGTACCCCTAGTCCTGACAATATGTTGATTTTGCTTCTTGGTGTAATTTCCAACTTTGTGGCCTTCTTCACCGCAATACAAGCATAGACCTTCTTCCATACACCGCTTTTTTTCTTCTAGAGTAAGAGATTTGACACGTATCGCATCAATTTGCATGTCTTCTACTTCTGAATGTGAATTCGCGCTGCTTGCCAACATAGTTAGGACGTGGCGAACCGTATGTTGTCTTGAACGTTGATTTTGATGGCGTTGAAATAGGCGGTTATCGCACTTCATAGCTTGGCTAATAGCTTCGTTGAGCATTTACGGATCAGGAAGAGTTAATAGCAAATCCTTCACATCGTCCTTTAAATCCCAATAGAATTGACTCATCAATGCTTCTTCGTCCCAATTGATGTCGCATGCTAATTGCCTGAAATCAGATGCATAGACTGATGTAGAGCACATCCCTTGTCGTAGTGACTAGATCTTTGTTGTAGCCCATTGAACCTTATCGTATTCACCAAATGCTTCCGCAAACGCCTCCAAAAAGGTTTCAAAGTTGTTTAATATGGATGATCGTTTCTCAAACAAAGGAGCAAACCATGATAGAGCTTGCTTTGTAAGTAAGGTTATAACAAGCCCAACACATGACTCCTCCATTGGATAGCGTTCGGGCTATAAAACTATTATCAACCTGATTTGATTGACGAATCCTCGAAACTTAGAACGCGTACCATCAAACTTGTTTAGAAGGCTAACTCGGGGCTCCTTATGTTGTAGAACCAGCGGTGCTTGTCAAACCTGAGGCAAAGTTGCTTCTCCAAGTGCAGAAGTTTGAGGCTAGTGCAACCTAGATTGTGCCATCTCAAATGCTCCATCATTATGCAGCCTTGCCACGACTCCTTCAATCTCTGCAGTTCTTTGCGATAACGTAGCGAGAGCATTCATGATAGCATCCAACTTGGACTCCAAACTTTCCATCATATTAATGTCTTGGCCTCCGGCCATTCTAAGAGAAGGACAGAAATGACTCTACAAGAAGACAATATTGGTTTAGAGGAGGGTACTCCGTAACCTCTAAAATGCCTTAAGAGCTTTAAGAAAAGGGATAATCCACTCTCTCCAAGAAGAATAAGACTCCAATATTATAACAAAAGAAGTAACAGTTTAGAAGAGGGTAATCCGCAACCTCTAAAATGCTAGTACACTTCCAAACAGAGGGGTAATCCACACTCTAACGAGGAAGAAACTAGCTCTGATATCTGAGGTGAGTGAAGTCTCGACAAACTGTCACAGACACAGAAATACAGACTCGAGATCTAACAAGAAATTCAAGAAGAACCGGTAAGAACTAGATTAATCAGATGAATACAAGAACAACACCAAAGAGGTGAGCTAGAGCTCCAAGAGATGTGTTGTCGAGATTGAAGAACTTTTCAGCCTCGATTCCAATATATACTCTTAATTAGGAAGCTTCTCAAGCAACTTCTACCAACTAGGAAGTTTCTAGAAGGTTCTAGAGACTTGCTTCTAGAAGGTTTTAGAAACTTGTCTCTAGAAGGTTCTAAGAAGTATGTCCCTAACAATTAGTCCCTCTACAAAAGAGCAAAGGTTCTCTTCAATTACAACGTATACTCGGTTTTATCACATTTTATTTTGTTTATAATGAATATGTCTCTTATTAAAACTAGAAGAAGGCAATTTCATACAAATCTTATGTCTTTTAGAGTAATGCTTGATATATTTAATGTTCTTTTTTAAAATCATGGTGTAACTTCTTTCTCTTCCACAGGCTTGATACATTTTGAGGTGAATTCTATATTGAAGCTTTCATTGGTTTTTTAGTTCTTTCAAGATTTTTTTTAAAAATTATTATTATTATTTAAAATTACTTTCTTTCTTTGATGCCTCCTATTTTGTCTTATAGAATAGGGATTTTTCATTTATAGAAATATCTGGAAGACAAATCTATTTAATTTAAACATAAATTTGTGTCAATTATATCATTACTAATAGATCTTTTGATAAATACATCAAAATTATGTGATTATTAGTATAAATTTAATATGTCATATTTTTTTCAATTACAATTCATATCAAGATGAATTTAAAATTGATCATTGTATAGATATTAGCATGTATTTGTGTATAAATAGATAAATAGATAAATAAATAAATAAATAAATACATATCATGAAAGAAACTTATTTAATATAATAAGGTGTTAATTATTACTTATATTGTATAGTAAACATGCACACACACACACACACACACACACGCACACACATATATATATATATATATATATATATATATGTTTCAAAAAGTTGATTAAACCAAAATATTATAAAAATACTTTTAAAAATATTCAATTTATCATGAGATTGATGCTTTTATATTTTTTTTAATTGCACATCTCTATGTGTTTGCATGTAATAAAACATTATTTTAAAAATATACAAGCACATATAAAAACCATTGACATTGGCCAAATATACACTTAACTTGATTACAAACTTATCAAGAAGAATCAATAGGAACGTCTTTTTGATTGTCTTATGAACACAATTACTTATCGAGCCTAGTGTCCATGATTCTAGTGGTGTTACGGAAAAACTTCAAGACCCACCTACAGTAGTGAAACTTAGGGCACACGTGAGCCATAACGGGGAGATGACAAGTTTGAGAATTTTTGTGGAAGTAATTTTATCTAAAATATCATTACAATAATGCTTGTGAATCATACAATTCCAGCAAGAGCTCGGGCAGAAATTTAAAATTTTCCTCATCAGAAGGAGATTTGAAGTTCTGTACAAATGAGAATTCTCGGACAAAAAGGAATCCTACTTTCGATTGTACGCGGATTCTTATCAATAGAAGAAATTCATAACTCGCGACAGATACACTGGACAAAAGGTTGCCAATTAAAACAAATTCCATGTGCATCGGAATTCATGAAAACTCAGACAAGGTCAAAAGGTGAATAGTTGCTGAGAAGTCACCGTGCAAAAGAGCTGGACACGAGAGAAACTTGATGTCGAATGCATCCAAATACTCTGCTTTCTTTGAATAAGGTTTCAGTAACAACATGAAGCAACTGGAGGTCTAACACCTCTGTCTTCCCTATGACATTTACTCTACAGAGTTCCAGTGCCCACATTTCCACTTGATGAAATGATAGAGCCTTAAGCGTCTCGCATTAGAAGCAGAAAGCTCAACATTGGGCAGATTTTAACTGCTCTCAATGAGGGGTGAGCATTCTCTACAAGAAGGGGTAGAATGCGGGGTTCCGGGGTTGGTGATGAGAAATCAATGGTTTACCAGGAAGTGCAGGTGAGTCAGGATTAAAGAAAGATGTTTCATTATGATTATTGAAATTCCCGATATGATCCAACGGCCTTCCGAAACTCCTTGCAGAGGAATGCTCGTTATCCTGAATGTCGGCAGCACGAGGTTGACCTTTAGGAAATAATCTTGGGTTGCCAAACAGTGAGACTTCGTCGTCGTCACTCCCAAATACTGACATGGAAACCGACACAGCACCTTCTCCGGGAACATCAGAGTCCCGACCTGATTCAGACGGAGTATACATAACCCACGTAACTGCAAGTGCATCCGCAATGGGCCGGATCACAAGGATACCTTCACCAATTGTGCTACAAAGCAAAACCATGATGAACCCAAAGAAACTCAGCAACTCGAATGGTAGGTGAGTAGGCTTGGAGAGAACTGATAGTCCAAGAAACATCACATGTAGAGGAAGCAGTAGCAACAGTGCTCCAAGAAGGCCATACAATCTCCTCTGAAGATATCTGTTGATGACCACCCCAACCATCCTCCAGCCGAGTAGGAGAAAGTAAGCCGAGTAAAGTATACCGAAACCAGCTAGAACAAGAGTGCTCCAAAGAGGGTAACGGCACATGGCAACTTCCTTGGCATCCATTATTACCTTCTCAAATGCTTGGGTAAAGTAATACGGGACTTTACCACCGTAACCCTCATTCTCTAGAATATAGCCAGTGCCTTCCTTGAACTCAATCCTGGGGCTAATGACAACGAAGAAAAGTTGAAACAGGAACACTGGAAGGCAGCACATAAGAATGAGAGCCACGACTTTGCCGTTCCAGGATTTTCGAGGTGTGAACGGTGCCTTGCGTAGAGAACCATGTACCAGAAAGAGTGCAGTAAGGAAGAAGCACGGCTCCAGAAAACCTAGAGAAGAGAGAATATGGAACCGACAAAGGTTGGCCTGCCAGCGGAAGCTCAGAGAGTGAAAGAGCCAATTCGGTCGCCGAAGTAAAGGGAGGCGTAACAGCTCGACTAGACTCCACAGAATCGCCAATGCTATGAGAATGATTCGGACTATCCATAACGAATTGAAGTCCTGAAAGTATACAAAAAGAGATAAATCATCAATCTTGACTGTCCCTAAACTAAACGCATCAAGTAATATAATACGCAATAACATAGCTCAATGCTGTGATCAACTTCACATAAAAAAGAAAGTGGACAATACAATAAAAACTCAATTGCTTTGAAGGTTGCAATTATGGTTCGAATAAAGCCACATTGTAGGAACTAGTCCTCGAGCAAATTTAAAAAAAAAAAAAAAAAAAAAAAAAAAAAAAATCTGAAAGCATGAGTAATATATCATTGATAAGTGGACAAGCCGAAGGTGTGAACCTGTAGTGCTGGTAGACGATCCTTCTGAATCCGGGCCCGAAAGTACAGGACGTAAGCAATACATCCTATACCTGCACAAATGAGCAGGAGGACCAGAACCAAGGTCGTAACACCAAGCACATCCACGGCTGAACCAGTTAGGGGCATCACCCAACCTCCTCTCTTCTCTATACATTAGTGTACCTTCCCACGTTGAAAAGCTACACTCTTTAACCTATTCGCCACCAGCATACGAGTTGCTATCACCTACAAATATTCCTCTTACGAAGGAGCTTTTCCACAGACCGTATCCAGCAACCGAGTCACAGAGCTCAAGAATTGAATAGGCTGAAGGTGAAAGGGTAGACCAAAGTTTGATATTCTTGAAGATAGAGATCGAGTTTACTTAAGTGGACCATCTGCTCAATAAATACCTCCGTTAAACCGTAATTGATGTGGATTTACGTACCCCTATGGCATCGCCTTCTATCCAAAGCGAACTCCGAAACTTTCTAATGTAGCCCCTATTTGACCATAATTTAAAACTACCATGTCCAATCTGCATCCTTCTGCACTGTCAAGCTCCTTTATTTAGACACTGTATTTATGAACTCCTTCAACTCAAAATGAGTACTAGATTGTGGAGGAACTGATCGCTCTGCAGATACCCACGTCCATTTCCAGGACAGACCATACGCTCTCCAGAATCGAAGGGGACCATTTGAAAAATTCCGCAGGTGTTGCCACAGGAGTGCTTGGACAGAAAGACTACATGAAGTTATCCCCAAATTCTGATAGTACACTCAAACTACGGGAAAACCAGGGTAGCTCCCGACATTCGCAGGAATCTACACTTCGACAAAAGCGTCTGCCATCACCGTGCCAATACTTACGTAGGCAACTGCAAATTGAAGAATGTACAACAATTTAGAATATGAGAGATAAACATAGTGAAAAGAAGTGAGTGAAGAGAAGTAGCAGGTAGTTAAGGTAGGTTCCACCACAAGTGATATAACTTATAATTTAAACTGGAAAGCCGACACAAAGACAGGGAGCCCGTGACCTAATACAGCAAAGTACATGAAGAGAAAGAAAGACGCTCATCTGAATCTGAATCTGCAACGCGTGTAGCGAATGCTCAAACGCTAGAGAACTACCTTCAATTATTTCTGTGTATATATGTGTATGTGTGTGTGTGTTATCGAAAGAAAGCGTGCATTCATCAGGCAAGGCAATAGTGGTGCACTATGAGTAAAAACTGGAGTTCCTTGGAAACATCTACTTTCGGCAAATTAATAAGACAACCGAAAATCATGTCAAGAAAGTGCACTTCAGATCTAATCTTTGTCACTTCTTCCTGCTTCAGTCAATTCTGCTCAAACAGGGCTAAATATACTCGAACTTCTTATAAAAGACATTCACTAAAAACTTCCTAGAATGGCGAGAAAAAATAAAATATAATATAATATTCCAATACGTGAGAAGCCATTCCCAAGCCCTACGTGTAAAATATCACTTCCAAGACTTCCTTTGAAGTTTCAAACCCTACATTTAACATGTCAAAGGATTCAAATTCACGTTATACATAAAGAATAAGACCGCTCACATGCAAAGACTACTAGCAAAGCAACGAACTGCACCAATTCGCTATCCCTGAAATGAACACAAAATCCTGAAAACCTAGGTCATCACCAACTCCACATATGGATCACTACCTCTTCCTTTAGCCAAGAATCCTGAAAGACGACGAAACAAGAAGTAGGAAAAATCCTAAAATTGAATAACGAGTAATATTCAATCAACGACAAACAATACAAATACATAAACACGCACACACACACACACACACACACACACACTAAATCGACATACACACCCTCGCCTCCACCACAACCTGAAATCACTCCCAACAACCCGCAATTGAGCTCGTCCAGACATGCACAACCCCTGCAAACTCCGAAAGCACACCACCAGACACAGAAATCCGCCGCACAGTCGCAAACTACAGCAGGAGCCTAACCTTGTATCGTCTCGCACCCTCCTAACACGGACGGCAGCGGCACCGCCACACTGTGCGCTTCCACAGGAACCAAAACTCGAACAGGGGCGTCAGGGCACCATTATCTGCGAGACTTGGACTGGCGTGCAGTCAGGCAGATGGGCCAGTCGACGGAAGTGGCAGGAGCGGCAGTGGGGCAGCGCGTTGGATGCGAGACTTGCCCAAGAACATCTGCTTCGTCCAGGCGTCGTGTTGGGGACTCTCTCTCTCTCGCTCGCTTGCCGAGTCGTCGGGGCCGCTGCGAGAAGACAGCTAAGCTGAGGGGAGATTGGGCACCGCCCCCTTCCCCACGGGCTCTCATTTATTTCCCATTCCCTTCTCGTTTTAGGTTTTTAATTTTTCTTGCCCTTCATCAGCCCATTTGATAACGATTATTAGTAAAATTTTACTAAGGATGATTCAGGAGGGTTCACAGAACTACATTTCCATATTTCAATAACAATAAGAATAATAAAATTAGCGAACCAGGCATTTACTATGACTTTTACTGTAAGATTTGGCTGTATTTGCAAAAAAAAAAATTGTAATGATATTTTCTTCTTCTTTTATTCCCTTTTGTCATATTTTAATTTCTCATGCCTCACCTCACACAAACCCTTTTGCTACAAGAACTTGTACCCTAGGATTGGTGTGGAATTGGATGGGGATGGAGAAGTTTGAGACATAGAGCAAGTGTATACAAAGAGAAGTAAACAATCTCATCTTCTCATTTGTGTTGCAAGCTGACAAAGAGCATTTAGCATTTTAGCATGTATTTATGATGATTGAGGTGAATAGTTCATCTTCTTCTGCTAATGTGCCCACTAACAACTGCAATGCAAGCTTTCAGGGAAGGGAGTGTGAGAAGAATGGGGGACATTTTTATAGTTTGTTTGTAGACGAACACCATGCTACTGGATGGATGTGAATGATGGTGGTGGGGGTGGGCAGGACAGGACAGGACAGAGCCCCAGTCAATTTAGTTCAGTTTGGCTAATGGGTTCTTTTGTGCAAGTGTTGGCCAGCCTGGACAGACACACACCAACACACACTCATACATACACAGAAAGTCAATGATAATAACAGATAAGATCACATTACAGAGGGAGGAAGGGAGTGAGGAAGGGTGTAACACAGGGAGAAAGCTGACTAAGCTAACTTAGAATAAAAAGGAAGGGGAGAAGAAGAAGAGAGCTTGACCAAGGCACCACTTGGACAGGCAGGCAGGTACAACTCACTCACTCACTCACTCAGACTGACTGACTAATTCACTTACTCACACACCAGAGGAGAGGAGAGGATAGAGTAGAAATGAGCGTGAAGGGCACAGTAGAGTTTGTTTACTGGTTCCAGTCTTAGCTCTGACAAGTCTTTTCGTTTTCCCTTTCTCTTTTTCTCATGTCAACACAATCATCCTTCATCACAACACATACATATATAGTATTTTAAAATTTATGTTATTTGTCGCCAAAGAAGCAGAAGCTTCTTTTTGTCTAATTTGGAAATTTCCTTTGAAAATAGGAGGCCCCAGAACGACATACGGATGCCGTGGTCGGTTCTTGGGAGTCAAGCGACCCCTACTACGATTTGGAGGTCATTCAAATCCGGGTAGTGTTGATGTCGAAGGGACTTCTTCATCTCTTCATTTTGATGCTCCGCCATAAATATCCGCATCCTTTGCTACCTGTTGCATTGGAATTTAAGAAATGGGAATATGAAAACAGAGGATGGTTATTAGGTCTGTATGATTAGTTGATTATGAACAATGTGTGCTCGTTCAGGTCCATCCAGAGTTAGACAGAAAATTGATAGTACAGGGAGTAGTATTTAGATCGTTAGACTATTTACAGTTGATTCTAATCTCAAGTTTCATGGGTGTGCTCAAGCCCTTGTAAAACCACCGCGATGTGCGATATAGTTTCCATAGGAGCTTGTTTTATGTCAAGAAAACTCCCGGCTAAGTTCATCAGGAGAGGCTTGTTTGAATCGTGCAGGTGGAAGAGATTTTAAAGACATTCAGGGGTACCGATTCTGAAGAGGCGAAGATCTATATCAAATTGATGTACGTGTTGGACCTTCAGAAACCAACTTCTTTGCAGATTTGGATCCTGGAGGAGCATGTGAATGAGCTCTGAAAAATATTTCCGCCGCAGTTGACTATCAATATGATGAAAGAAAAGAAGTCCTCTCTCATTTCAAGCAAACACTGCAGGACGGCAACATTAAAATAGCCACCACGTGGTGGTAACAGGAGAGAACCAATCATGTGAGATAAGTAGAGGGAACCTGAACAACATCGAAGAATTGATTAGCGCACGAGTCGAACCAAAGTAGACGGTGTGGTGTCTAAGTACCGCACCTATGAATTTGATTCGTCACAGTTGGCATCAATTTGATGCAGGGTTCACATACGTGACACTGTACTCAAAATTATTTTCACAAGGTTCAAACAAACATCTTCAGCAAAGAGCTTGCAGCCGAAGGAGAATGAGACTCCTATACAGATTTTCCTCACATTCTTTACAAATTGATCTCAGACTCAAAACGTTCCCCGAGCAGTCATCTGGACACATGGGCATGGACACCGTGACTTACAATTTCGCATTGCTCCAAAACAGGCTGTATACTTCTGACAATCCGAAAGTTTAATCGAACGCCCACTTAGTTTCTCTTCGGATTTCCATTTCCTCCTCATAAGTAAAATCGTCCTGGATGTGGAGTATTTTCCGAATCTCTACAGCGGTCTTACCCCTGATGTTGTTCGCAACTGCCTGGCAGATCAGGTCCAGCAAGTTCTTGATGTTCAAGTAGTTTGCCGCCTGATCACGATGTAGATTAGCATTATACGATGTTTGAAAGTACACATGAAGATTGAACAGCACCAATGCTCAAATCAAGACAGTAACAACCTGCACTGCACGATCAATGGATATCTAACTTTTCAATCACCAGTCCAACAAGCCGAATAGAACCAACATTGATCAAGTCGAATTTTAAAAAGAACACTGCCAGTTCTAATCTACCACACGAACAACTTCATAAATATGAAGCGCATCAACAGTAGACATAGAAACTGTAAACATTTAGACTGGAGAGATATTTCATACCAGTATCAGACTATACAAAGTTGCCGGATGAACATCCACGAAATCTGCATCCCACTCTCTGATCTGGGCATCGGTAATAGGTGGCTTATCATCATGTGTCTCCATGGTCTCGGCATGATACGAGCAATACTCAAGTACCTTCGCCAAGATATCGCTCGATACATTTGGTATAGAGATGGGGACGTTTGTCCCTGTATCCTGAATCATGTTCCTCAGAGTTTCAGACTCGAACGCCACAGCCTCATCGACTTCGAACTCATCGTTGTCAGAGCTTATCAACTTGACACGCTTCTCAGCCATATTTGGAGATCCCTGGAAGTGCATCTGCATATAATTATAGGCATGCATGCTTGTATGGCATTGTGAATGAACCGTCACTCTAGAGGGACTACTATAAAACTGTTAGGCATCGACTTACGCATTCCCAGGACAAGGTTGAGAGGAAATGATTCTCTGTGTGCTTCTATTGGTTCACGCCCAGAAGCAGAAGCGAAGACTAGCTGTTATACAAGATCGGGCTCTCAACTAACTTAATTTACAAGAAAAATGGACAAGTCTGAAGAGACAAAAACAAATCCGCTCACTACATGATTTCAAAGAATCAACAATAGTACAAACAAAATACATGAGCTAAGCATCCCCAGCAAAATAATGAGAACAATGTAAACCTTAGGAGACGACTACCCGATGTGAACGTTGCGAACGAGGAAACGAAGCGAAGGTTTTCCGTCGAGCCAAACAGCAACAATTTAACTGCAGTGCATGAAATTTCTGAACACATTTTCCTTCAACTTGAACATACTAGTCCAATTTCCACGAGGAAAATTAATAAATTAATAAAATAAAAATGCAGAGATTATTTAAACATGCAAGAAGTTGATTAACTATCATATAACTAGGCCTACATTTTGCTCCATCTGGAACCCTAACCTCAGCGCACGTCCTAAACGCGCACCAAAATGGTAACAGCAGCAACAAACAAACCATCAACAACGTGAAACTTTCGCTTCGTCTTCTTGAACCTTTTCCCTTGCGCACTACTCCTGGATTTTGCTTCTTTACATCATAATGAATCCACTAAACAAGCGAAAGCAATGTTACTATCCAAAGCATTCTTCCATTCTAGGCGGAACACTTGTGACATGATCGATCACACACCTTATCCAGCGCTGGTTACTTGTGGAAAATTCCTCTCAGAACTTGACGATATGACAGCGAAACCTCCGAGTAGAAATTCTTAGCGGAGAGCGAAAATCACCCAAGTATTCCTCGTCGACGGTGAGCAAGAAGGAGGCAATGTGCGGGACAAAATTAATGAGAGAGCATGAGCCAGGGAGAGCAAGAGTGGAACGTTCAAGGCCTTGCTTCATGATGATCTCTCTTCGGTTGGAGTCATCAGTCGGTGAGTCACCGTTACAGCTAGAGTGATCGTTCCTGTGCTTGAACTGTATCAGATTCTTACAAGTAATGAAGCAGGTCGATGAAAGTACTCCATCGATACGTTCATTCATTTACGTACAAACTCCGTCAATGAACGCATTCGTTCGATGAACAGATTCTTTAAATGCTTGAAGGTAACATATAGTAACAAATTCTATGCCAGTATAACGTTAGAATTTTACACTTTATTCTAATATCAAGTTTAAATATTTTTTGATTTTTTTTTTATTTTCAAATTCGTGAAATGGTTTGATCATGTATAAACTTTCCAAAATATTCAGTTGGGAAGATTATAGAGTGCCCTTTCTTTTTGTAGGCATTTCTTGAGAAAATAAAAAAATCTTCAGCTCTGATAAATTTTTCTTAGATACTTATTTGAATTTTGCATGTTTTTCACCTGAAATATGCCACAGTTGAACTTGATCAAATTTAGAATGATAAAAATTAAGAACAATCTACAAGATTTTAAAGTGTCTTTTGAAGCACTTGTTCTAAACTTCTTTTATATTGCCAAGTAATGATTATGGAAGTACAGTGAGCATTAAAATAATAACATGAAAATTAGAATGCGAGTTTATGGCATTCAATTAGAGGTGGCATTATGATTTGGAAGTAGATAAAAGTAAGGTAGATACAATATTTAAATTTCTTTGACCATAAATTGGTGAGGTCTTTGTATGACTTAAGACTTCTGCATAACTTGTTCTTAGTGTTAAAAGATCATAGTGTTTTTAAAGGCAATCAAGTATAATATTAACAGTATATATATATATATATATATATATATATATTTATTATTTCTCTTTAAAACAATTGACAAATGATTAACTCAAATACTAATACAATATCTTATTTACTAAGACAATGGGATTTTTTATGTGCATCCATCCAAAAGATATTCAAAAGATATCTCTTCATGCTTCCATTCATCTATGGATTCTTTCACCATTGTTAGCCAATTTGTGCCTTATTTAAGTGTCTCAATAAATAAATATAGATACTCAACACTCAGTATTGATTCCAAGAGCCACACACTATAGCTTTTACCTACATTTTGTATTGTCATCTTTGTAAGCAATATATGAAATTTTACTTATTATTTATGTGTTTTTAGAAATTTAATATTTTTTTAAAAAAGCAAACCTCTATAAAAATTAATTACTATATTCTCTATTAATATTTAGGTTTCCATTGCTAAAACATAGTATCCAAACAAAAAATTGGCTCTAATTCTAGAGGGAATGTTTTAAGGAGGAATGTTAAATTAATCCAAACTTTTACTAAATTGACCCACCCATCCTAACCATCAAAAAAATAAAAAATAAAAAATAAAAATCTCTAAATTCATTGCCAAAACCAATGAAAACCAACCACTTTCATCATGATTATCATATTTTTCATCATAGGTAAGTTGAAATAGTAAATGTCTGGGTCTATTTAACATTCTTCATAAAAAATTACACAAATAAATTTTTAATTATTTTATATATATATATATATATATATATATAAGATACAACCAATAAATGACTATTAATTGACACAATATAATTAAACAAACTTATAATACATCCAAATATGCAAGACTAGTTGGTATTATTTTATATCAATTATAACTACATACATAAAATATTTGTTTATTGATTAAAACATGTTAAAAATATTATAGAATTAAAAATAATAAAAAATTATCTACACATGCGAGTAAGTGTACATACATATCTATATATACGTATAAATGAATGTATTAATATGTATATATGTGTAAAGAATTTTAAAAAGTTATATATTTATTAAAAATGATGATATTTTTTATTTAATTTCTAAAACCAGAAATTGACTGGTTAGTAGACATTAATGATATGAAGAAAAGGTATGATTCTTTTTCTTTTCAACTACATCATAGAATAATTCAGAATTAGTTCAAATTCTCATGGTGTAATTTATTGGTGTAGTATTTAATTTAAGAATTTCATGTGTGTTCCTTTCAGTAAGAAAGCTTCAAAAACCAATATTTAATCAAGTTAACAAGATCTAGTATTAGTAACTCAAATTGACAATTTTGTTTTTGAAGAATTAGGCATTCAAGTAAAAATCAGAAAAGTAAAATTTTAATAAACTTGATTTATAAATAAACAAATAAATAAATAAATAAATAAAGAAATAAACAAGATGAAATTAAAAATTTCGAACAAAGTCAAAATCTTAAAATTTAACCTTGTATGGTTAACAAACTTTTCAGTAGCCAAATTCATGTGCATTTGGAGGTTGTTACAGTAAAGGTGAAAATTGGACCTATTCTGGAAGAAATGTTTGTAGACAAATTTGTTTAAAGAATGATTTGTGGGATATGAAAGAGAATTTAAATGCATGACAGTGAAATGGGTTGTATGTATTTACATTATCACTCTATTTTGTATTAAATTTTTTAATGTACAATAACTACTAAATAAAATGAAGTACCTTGTATATAGTGATGAACGTATACATGAGGTGAGCTACATCGGCTAATGTGTTTTTGTGCAAATTTACAAGAGCATGAAAAGAGAGGAAGATTTCAGATACTTGTTATTTGAAACACCAAATACATACATACATACATACACACTCACACTCACACACTTCATGTGATGAACTTGATTTCCAACACACTCAGAAAATTCTCTTACATTTTATTCTGCCATTCAAGATAAAATCCATGTTCCAGGCCAAATAACATCATCACATTTAACCCAAAAAAATAAAAAAATAAATAAAACTAATAAATCATGTCACCTGCTCCACAAAATTCCAAAATTTTGCACATACTAATCACTATATTTCCATACAATTTGGAACTGTTTAGTTCCACACAAATCCACACAACTTTGCTGAATGGAATGAAGGGAACTATGACATCGAGCAAGTGAGGCTATTCCCCACACTCCCCCTCAAACGATGCACACATTCTTTCAAAGTTCGATGCTCACCTTCCCCGAAATTCACTCCTTGACTTTTAGGCCTTTGACTTCCTCGCCGTGTGCCCATTATTCCACTCCTGCCTCCCATTCCCTCGGGGGCTTGTCTCTTCGACGAACGGAATGCGTCCACTAACGAATATCATCCAAGAAACACGAGCGAATATCATCCTCATGGATCGTGTTGTGTGTGTGTGTTTCTTTTGCGAGTGCCGAGGCGGTGCGAGGATTTTCACGCCACAGCCAGCTTTCCATGGAGCCTGTAGGGCTCGTGTTTGACGAGGACTTGCTGCAAGCATCCAGTGGAGACCTGGCGATGTGTTGCCTTATTGAGCCCCGTGTTCACTTTGTGGATTCTTATAAATTAAACGAAGGCCGGAAGAATTGGCAAAGACAACCTTGCCCAGACGCACCGCCTCGCTCCACCCGGGATTCAACGAGATTCGCAATCCGAGGCATCTGTGTCGAGTTGACGACGGAATCCTGGGTGGTTTGACGCTCGTCGATGGCTTGACCCTTGCCTATTCAATGTCGCATCGGGCCCTTCTGTCCGACTGGCGCAACGAGATCATTTATTGATCATTTATTAACAGAATTTGACCCCATCTGTTCCTTTGTGGTACCGATTTTCTCGCGCGCCAGCCGGGCTCGTGTCTATTCCTAGTACAAGTTTACCCGCCCGGATTGACTTGATACCCTTTGAGCTTAATTTCGGCACTCGTGGCGTTGAAATGGGGTTTTTTTGGGGAGTGTTACACCCGGGGCATTTCAGGGCATGCGTAAAGTTGTCATCCAGGGTTCTTTGCTTGGGATCAATTATTGACATGTTCAGAGAGTGAATCTTTGTATCTTCTAATGCTCCTGGCTATGGTTGGAGGTTGTCAGTGAGAGTATTTTTCTTATTATTCCACATTCTGTCCTTGGTTTCTCGAAAGGTTGCCGGCAGTTGATAACACAGGAGAGCATTCACTTGTTATTTTTGTTTTTCTCTTTTCTGTTGTACTCTGAACTCTTGGGATCTTCATTTCATAGTTTGCCGTTGGATGGGTACAGTTTTTCTAAGTTGAACTTTTGTTCAGTATTCTCTTTTCAATAGTTGTTTTAGCTGTGCGGGGAGCATAGACAGTCGGTTGGAAACTCAGAATGTCTGTGAAGCACTTATAGGTTTGTGTGGCTAAACTTGGACACAACTTAACGACGGTCCATTTAAGAGGGGAGTTTGAAATGGGAAGGGGGAGACACGACCGATGTTGATTCATTACGAGACGTGTCACACTTGAGATAGCTGAAGGCAGGATTTTGACGTAGTTGAGATTTTGGAGTCACGATTTAGTCGAAGATTCATCGTATCGTTTTTTGGCTGTCTTCTCTATCCTGTATTTCTTAGGTATAAGCTCCTGTATCGACGAACGGCAGATGTGAATTTTGAGTACAAGTACATGTTTAGGAAGGAAATAGCAATAGAGCGAATTTAGTCACTGGAAGAGTTTACAGGGATGGTGTCCATTTCAAATACTGGCTCTGAGAACGGTTTCGTCGGAACCGATAGTGCGGACAAGCCTCACTTCCAGGTTGTGAGAGGAATGAAGTTGTGTGAAGAGGATGCGGAAGACTGGTCTTACAGAGGTGAAGGCGCTGCTAATATCGTGCTGGCTTACGATGGCGAAAAACCTTCATTTGTAAGAGCTCTTTCTTCTTTTCCGTGTTAAAACAGGTTCCTTAGCCAGCTATGCTGGCTGAAAGTCCGGATGTGTACAAGTTCATGAGGCGCTTACTGTATTCTGGTGGTTTATGCTCATTTATGCATGTTTTGGCGATTATCTGACCTCAGGCGGGGAATATAGTTGTATGAAGGAGTTCAATCACAAGCTAGGGTTGTTTTCGCCTTCAGTTGATGTGGCGAAGCCTAGAAACCATATTTGATGAATGGTGCTGGCAGGTTGGGAGAGTTCTGCGCATACGCAAAGCTTCCAGAAATCCTAGTGGGTTAATTGATAATGGAACCCAGAATCAAGTGAAGAAGGATGCGAAGCCGGTTTTAACTGAGCATGAAATAAAGTTGTGGAGAGAGTGGCCAAGCATGTGTGAGGCGACAACATCTGCAGCCCTGGCACATGCTTATGCTTGTGAAATCATGCAGCCTTTACTGGGAAAAGATCACATCGATGCCGGGGTACGTATCTTCTGATCACCTTTTAGTACTGTGAGGAAAGTAATTATGAAAGCATGCTCTTTGATCTTGTCAAATTGAGAAATATGTAGCTTTAATGTAATTTACGTTCTTTTGAGGTAGTTAAATGAGTGGTGTCAAAGTAGGATAATCCTTGTGGAAAACAATACGAATCTGGAACAACAAGTTGTGCTGCATATGATTCTGAGTACGCTGGATGGCTGTCCTGCAGATGTTGGTTTTCCTTACAACGGGATTCCTGGAGGCCGTTTCCAAAGAAGTTAATGCCAATCAACCGGAATGGAGGCGGAAGGATGCCCAGATGGATATGACGGGAGGTCTTGCTCTTATGATTGCAGATCATTCCTCTTTTCCCGCCTTGCGAAGTACGTAAACTTAAAGTAATTAGGTTGTCGCTTGCAAGTCAAGTCATTATTTGATTGTGGATTCTGTTGATTTGAGAAGTAAACATCTCTGAAGTAGCTAGACTACTCCTTTCATGTACAATGATACTTGTGATGTTTTTACGTTTTCTTGTACGAAATATTGCTATTTACGATTGTTTATATCTGTTGAATAAAGACTTGAACTGAATTTGGCTGGTTCGTATGGTTCTACTTTATCTGAAATTCTCCATACTATTTTTTTTGACAGGCAGTGCGAGGGATTTGCCACAAACTATCACTGTCGAACTCAAGGTGATGTGAACTAGAGTTTGATTTTTAATGTGATTGTCGCACAATAGGACGCTCGACAGTCTTAGCGCATATACCTCATGATTGCTAGATATGCTCAGTAGAGGACACTTATAACTGTTATCTATCAACAAATTGAAACGTTCTTTCTTCAATGTTTATCTTCACGATTGTGATACTGTTTACTGAACAAAAGATAGTGTTTATGGGTTTTGTAGCCAAAGTGGGGATTTTTGCCAACAGCAGCAACTATTTCTGATAAGAATAATGTGAAACGGCATGTGCCACGTTTTACAATGCTCCAGCACCTGAAGCTTCAACAGGGCAAGGTCTGACTCTTGTGATTCTATCCATATGCGTACATCGTTAACGTGCTTAAATGTCCCTTATTAAACCCTTCTATCTAAAGATTGATTTTTGACTATATGGAGTCGGAAGTGAAAGCGCATGCTATGTGTAAAAATGGATTATAGTTTTTTCTTATAATTTCATAGTATTAGTGGTAAGTGGGATCCAAAATGTAATTTCACCTTGTTGCGTGTAAGAATCATGGTTTTGTGCGCCGAATATCGTATAAGTATGACTTTGTCAGCCTCTGCGGAACATAAGCCGACGAAATTTCTAGGATTGGTTTTTTATGCTAATTTCTTTCTCGGTCTTATCTGCGTGCGTATGAACAGGCAAAGGCGATTAGCAAGTACTCACCTCTGGACCTTTTCTCGGGATCTGACGAAAGGATCATCAAGGCTTTAGTTGATCTGTTCGAGACACCTCAGAATAATGTCCGAGTTTTCTTGGAAGGAGAACAAGTTTTTGGAGCCCCTGCAGATGGGCAATCCATTGATGAAGAAGTTTCCTCTCTGGAGGAGAAACTTGCAGCTGTGTCAGTAGCTCCGGAGGGTGAACGTGTATCGGTGTTCCAACGACTGGTGGCAAGTGCACTGAACAAGAGTAAAGCTCTGGATCAGCTGCTAAGAGTGCAGAAACTAGATACATATGACATTGAGGGTGCAATATTGGCGTACGACAAGTTTATGGAGATGGCCGACAATGCTGGTCAGTTACGGTTCTTTCTGCTGTACCAAGTTTCTTGTATTAGTTGCGATTGTGGACGTTGTTGGGCAGCTCAAAGACTAGAGTCAGATTTTGTCATCCTCAATGTTTTGGGATCCTTCGACGGAATAAACTGCTACAGGATTAGTTTTTCTTCACTTAACCAGTAAAGATTGTGCAAAGAAAGTGCTCTTATTTTCCTCTTTGAAACCAGGCAACTTGGTGCGGCTAATGCGGTATTCTGAGGATTATATAACATAACACTAAGAATGAAGCAGAAAAATCAAACCAATGCGTAGGGCTTTATAGCCTAACTATCATAACCCAACTATTAATGTTCTTAACCTCAGTCGAGTGTTCGTTGTGTGCTCATCAGACGCAGATGACAGCTCTGAGGCAGTATCCACCTCGTCTGAAAATGGGAAATCCATTAATGGGTCTTGTTTTACCCGAATTGACAATTTAGCTTTGGAGGCTGAGGGTGAACTGAAGAACAGAGACAAGGAATGGATCAAATCTTTGACTTGGGAACAAAGTTGCTGTGTGGTTCGAAACTTCTTAATTGCAGGGACTGCCAAAGATTGTGGTCTCATGCTTACTTTACGGCCATTGCATAACAGACAAGGGAAAGCATTTCCTGTACCATCTGCTCCTATCGTGGCATGTCCAACCACTGGCCAGCAATACATTTTCAAGGTAAGTAAAGTATGACTTTAGTAAGCATGTTTAATCTGTGAAACTGCACATTCTATTGCATGTTTACTAATGTTTCGTCACTCAATCAGGTTGCCTTTTTGGACCTGGATCCAAAGCGACTGAAGAAAATGCCATTTTATCACTCACTAGACCAACAGATTGTGGATACTTACAAGGCATCTTTAACATGACCAACAAAGCGACAGTGATTATTTCAGTTGTTGCTGTAAAATTAAGTGCATAGGTTGCGCTTACCAACTGCGCTGCCCACAAGCCTCACTGACTTTTAGGTGATAATGAGGAAAGGTGCAGTCATATGATATTTTTTCCCCTGTAGATTTGCAGAGAAGGCACCTCACTTTAGGTGGTTTCTTAGACACAGCTTGTCTGGAAAGGTAATCAGAAGTCACTACATGTAAGGTATGATTTTGATTTGCTTTGCTTTAAACGCAAGTGTCCCTTAAGATGGTAGTGACACCGACTTTTAGCCCAATTACCACCTTACACAGAAACTGAAGTATACAGTGTAGTTGCTGTGGTGTGTTAAAAGCGATTTAATCAAAGTGTTCGTTCAAGGCTGATACAACTGGTGTTGTTGCCTAGATCAATGCTACCTCTTCCCAGCGCTCATTTTTCTCATTGTAAATCTTTCAGGCCCTCCAATAATTCCATTTGTCTGTGGCAAACCTTCTACTGTTAATTGTTGATTGTGATGGTATTGAAGACCTGTAATTGACGAGAAGTGTCGGTGCCACGGCTTGTTGAACATCGAACCCAACTCTAAGTATCAATCCAGAGAAATGGAAGAATTGAAGCAGGATTTGAGCTACAGTCCTCAAGAATGTGGATTGTGGTTTTTGGCATGAGGAGGTGGAATAACACTAATAGCTTATTCACTGATACCTTACATACGTGGAAAAGTTTAAGTATATGCTTCCTTGAGTGCCTGAATCACATTCATGAGTTTCGCAAAAGCATTCAGCTATGAGGGTAGCTTTACGTGGCATCTTAATGTAGCAAGAAATCTTAATGGCTGTGAGAAGTCCAAAAGATGTGGCATATCTATTTAACGTGGGCACATTTTTAAATTGCATCAATGGTTTTAAAGAAAGATCCTAGTCTTGTACTTGTGAACCAATACAGAGGATGCCTTATTTTCCATTAAACAATAACAATAGCGGTGGTACTGCCCATTTCGTCATGGAATCCAGCGTGGCAAAGTGTTATGCTGTCCAGGAAGGAGCACTTCACTTCACTGAAGTTGAGAACATGGCCCCTCTGTGCATGGCGGACAGACATGACACCAAGGTGGATGAATGAATACATGAATGGATGAATTATTTTGGGACATACCTCGATTTTGTAATGAATCATCTTACGGATGGATGTATATTGGATGGATGAAGGTTTAATATTGGATGAATGAGGTCTGAAGTGAGGATGGCATCTTCTGAGGGAGTATCCTATTTCTCAGTTGCCCTTTTCACACCGCCCCTCGACAAATTCTCTCCTTCCCCTTCTTCCTTTGTGACGTGGATTGCATTATGCCCATCTACTATCTTAAGTCCATCCTCAAAGGAAATACACACATTCATGGTGACAAGGATGCAAACGTATGTGCTTGCCAAGCAATGGGTCACACATTTCCATGTGGGTTTTTAGAGAATAATAGAAATCTTTTGTCTAAGGCATTTTTCACAACTTGGGACCTCATCAAGCAATTCTTGAATAAGAAAATAGGTAGAAAAAGTTTTAAAAATTGGATTTTTTTTGCCAAGTGGGTTTTTGTAGTAATTCTATTATTAATTATGAAAAGGGTGGCTCCTTCTAGCATCTTCTTAGATTATATAATATTAATAATAAAAATAAGAAAAAATAATAATCATCATTATCATCTAATTGTGATATCAATAGTATCATTTTTTAAAAAATTAAAAATGATTCATCTATTTTAATTTTCATATCAATGATTCAAGGATTTTTTTAATTTTTTTTTGCTTTTAGTCTTAGCGTGACCCCTCATGTTTATTAATCAATCTCACCAAAGTCCAACTGAATGGTTTTATGTCTCAAAGCAGATACATGAAAGCCAACTCATAATTCTTTGAAATTTCCTTGCAGAGGATTTTACCTTGGTAGACCAGAAAAAAAGATATGAACTGGTGATTCTTTCATTTAGCATAAATTTAATGGTTGAAAATTGGAGGTTTACATGAACAGCACCAAGTAATTTTTATCCATATTCACTTTTCTACTAAATCATGGATTTATTGTTTAGATGTGTGCTTTTTTGTTACATAAAACCCAAAAGGAAATATGGCATATATCATTACCTTATATTATTGCATTTTGTGTATATGTATATATATATATATATATATATATGGATATTTACACAGTTAAAATATGATTACAGTTGAACAATTTAAAAAGGATTCTTTTGTATTAGTTTTTGTTTCAATTTGAACTACTTAATCAATCTTAATTACTAGTGAAACATGCGCATAAACCCTTTGCATGATTTCAACAAATTCTACATGAATTGTCCAACATGAAGTTTTGAAACATGAGGCTTTATAGTTTACTCAGTTAATCTCAAAAATCATCATATAAAAAGATTTATTTAGTTTTATTAAAAAAAAAACAATCAAAATGATATTTTCAATTTAAAAACTTGCATATATGTGATTCTTTTAATAACAATACAGAACTTATTAATAGAAATGCAGAGTAATACAACGATCGATGCATGAATATGAAAGAGTAGTGTACAAGAATCTTTACAATTTTGGTATAAACTGGAAATTGAATTCATTCACTGCTTGCAAGCAGTAGGAAGGTGCGCAAAGTAGAATTGCTACACTTGTGCCTCATAAAAAAATTCAGGGGATTAAAAAAAAAAAAAATCCCTGAAGAGTTTCTTACTTGTGGTAGATCACTCACATGAAAATCCTTGATAATCTCATTTATACTGAACAGTTCTATTTATTGACATGAAACCAGTGCTCGTCACCGAAACTATCAAAGTAACAAAATAAACACAAGCAACGCAGCAGTTAGAACTCATGTGACAATCCATGAACTCTACATCGCACCATCAGCAAAGTGGCAATTCGCCATTTGTTTCTGGCACTCGACAACTCCCAGGTCAGTTTCGCCAGAAGGATTGCGGCCAATCCCCAGTTTCAAGCAGAGTCTTGCGCCCTGCACTGGGTGCAACAAAGCGATGGTCTCTCAGATCATGCTGGTTGTCCCAGAAAGAATGTGCATATCAGTATATGTCTAGATATATATATATATATATATATATATGTGTGTGTGTGTGTGTGTGTGTGTGTGTAGATATTGAATAATTAAGATTCGGCCTGTAATGAGGGGTTGGGTTTTGCATTTGTTATTTTTATTTTTTATTTTTTTTTGAACTTTTGCACTTTTGGAGATGGGTGGGAGGGGGGGCATATTGTCGAGGTGGGGAGAGCGGGGGGAGGGAGGTGAGTAACACGGTGAGGTTTCTGGTGCCAGGTGTAGTAAATCTAGCTTATCCTGAAGAGGGCATGTTCCGTCTAAAACAAGGAGGGCACTTTGTGCTACCTCAGAAAGCGTGGCCAGCTGAAATTAGAACATGGTGGATTTGATCCATGAATCTCGAAGGACTGACACTTGGGAGGAAACGGGGACGAAATGCATTTGTGAATCTCGAAAATTTAACATTACAAATTGCCCGGTCCTGGGTCTGGGAAACCCTGCGAGAGTAGGGTGTAGACGTAAAGGCTTCTTGAAGCTTCTAGAGTAGTGTGGGGCAAATCGAAGATAGGAATTAAGCACAATTACGAGAGAAAAATTCCTTCGGGGACCACAACACATGTTGATTGATTAGCAAGTTACCAAAATTCTCGGCGAGCCAAGGAGGATACGACGCAGTTCTGGATTGTTTACTAGGTTCGCTGCCTTCGATGGAAACTGGCTCATCTGCTAGTGGCAGCGTTATCCGATTTAGTAGCAATCCTTGGCACAGTTGGCATGATGCATAAGGAATGCAACATACAGTTGGGAGCGAGATCGACGTTGCCCACCTGCAGATTGCATTTAGAGTGTAGCTTTTGGATTCCGCCCTGAAATAATTCCTTGCAACTGCAGGAAGGGATAGATTTTGGGGGTGCCAGCTGCTCTAGATTCCTCGACGTCGGATCGGGTAAAAGTGTGGGAGTGTAGGAGGGTCGTCGGCAGTTTTCTTCTTGGTACTTCAGGCCTTGGGCTGGGCCGGGCTGTGCTAGCTTGTTGGTGATTCTAGCAGAAATCGAAATGACTGAAATCGCAATGGATACGGTTAGACAGCAGCAGCAGCAGCCGCCGAGCGAAACGTCGTCTTGTCAACCTGTCGTTGACAGACAGGAGAAGGCTGGAGAACAAGCTGCACTGCTGGTGACTGAGCAGTTGGAGGCAGAGCATGATCATGTGGATGCGAGCTCAGAGACGAATAGTAGCGCCTCGGACGTGGACTCGAAGTCTGGTGCTGTAACTGTGGACGCTAAGGCGAGAGGGAGGAAGAAAAGGGGGGCTGCGGGGTCTTCGTCTTCCGGGACTGGTGGTGGGCAGGAGCGAGTGCGCAAAAGGCGAGGGGGTCCAGAGAATGGGTTACATCAGTATCGAGGAGTGAGGCAGCGGCAGTGGGGTCGATGGGTTGCTGAGATTCGAGAGCCGAGATTGAGGACGCGAATGTGGTTAGGGACATTTAGTACCGCTTTGGAGGCTGCTAGAGCTTATGATGAAGCAGCTCTTGTTTACCACGGTCCTGGAGCGAGGCTCAACCTTCCACATGAGACGTATCAGAAGCCAGAAAATATTGCTCCTTTAGGTACTCACGGCGTGGAATACCATTTTGCACATATGAATTCGAACAAAATTATGGGTCCAGGTGCTGCTACTGTCGCGCTCATGGGTAATGATGGAGGGAAGACGGATAATTATGGCATGAGAGTTGTTGACACGCCGCTCTCACGTCGATCGTCGTCCTGCAGCGTGGAGAGCATTGGGCTTCCTGCTGGGTGCAATTTCAATCATGATCCTCAGTGGTGGACTTCTAGTGGAAGCACCAGTCTCAACTCCACACTCCGAGCAATTCCAAGTTTTGCCAACGCACCTCCCACTGCGTCGTCATGCAACGATGGGTCTGAGCGATTCTACCTCTCCCAGGGTCCTATAAATTTACAAACAAGACCAAACTCATGCGAATTGCCCCCCGATCGGCAGCAGCGTCGGCAAAACTTTGCAGTCCCTCTGGAGATGTGTGCAGGACTGTTCCAGAGCAAATACACTGGATCTTTGGGCCTTCGCTCTCCTAACATTCATTGTGAACTTGGTGCAGATTGTCCTTACGCAGATAGGCCGGGAAGAGGCCTGCACGAGAACGGCATTCACAATCCGTCCACCGTGACGTATGCGAAAAGTAGCACTGATCAGACCGACACTCCGTTTCAGACTGATCAGTACCAGCCAACTAATGAGCCTGCTCGCGATACGTCTAGAGAAATGGGCCCTGCTTTTACAGCAACACCACAGTGCCCTGACCAGCCTGTGACGGCACTTGTACCTCCCAAGGAAACGAACACGTTCACTGCACCTCCTGTAAGCGACGACACATGCCAAGACTGCTCGAGTCTCGAAGTAGCCAAGAAATTCGAGTACTCAATTTCGGAGGGATCTGCTGAAAATTCTTTTGCGACCGAGTTCGGCAGCTTTGATTTCGAGCCTGAGACATTTCAGTCGATAACCAGCTCGGTTGAATCCGAGCACGATAAAATGCTGAGCAGCATAACTGCGGCTAGTTCGTTCACGGACCAAGGCCCGCCAGTTTCATCCGAAACATCTCCAGCCATTCTACGAGGAATGGATGTCATTGATGAAGGCTCGCCCAGCTCATTCTGGCGTGATAGCAGCACTTCGAGCCACCGGTCACTGGATGCACCCGACGCATATGCATGGAACAACATACAAGAGCAGCGTTTTCTACTGAAGCCATGCCCAGATTTCGACGATATGAATGGCTGTTGGGACGATGTGGCAAGTCCGATACTCGCCCCGCCGCCGCCCCTACTCGATCTCCCAGACCTTCCGAACTTATCATTCGACACTCTGACGGATGTTTTTTGTTCCACACCAAAGGTCGCCGACGTTGACAAGGCAACTAACATCCGGGACTTGTAGACAACAACGAAAAATTTAGCTTCCAACATTTTTGCTTTTTTCCCTTGATCGTTCTGTTACACTAGAACATTAGATTCTTCTCGTAATACCTTATGTAGAAAGAGCCTGAGGTACATTCAATGCTCACATATCCATTGTAGCAGTCACGCTGAGACAGTGCACGTTAGCACATGCCTTTCGATTCTTCCAAATTTTTTTCCAGCTGCAGATATCCGTAGATGCCTGACAGTTTGTTGCGGGGAGGGAAAGGAACTGGCAAGGACTTACATCCCATTAGCAAGAGGTATTGTAGAAAGAAACGGATTGACAGGGGTAAGTCTATTCCAGCGGGTGTGGGAGTGATCTCGTTGACACCCACATCGGAGATATCAGAGAAAGGAAAAGAGTTTCTTCCTCATCTTGCTGAGATTAGTTTTGTAGTTTTGTAGTTTTGTAGTTTAGGAAGGCAGTTTACTTTGCCCTTCTATTTGTTACTAAGTTCTAGATCAATTTAACGCGTTGCCCTTTGAGCCGGTTACCTGGTCAACGATGTGGTACAATTTCTTGTCACTCAGTCCACACAATACGACAAGTCATCTCTGCTCAGGATGATTAACTCATTTTTTGAGAAAATTCATTATTTTCACGATAAGTAGGCTGCTGAATTGCAACTCGTGACATGTGCAGTTTGCTGCCATGATATCATTACACACAAGAGAATACTGTCTGCAGCGATGAGAGGAACTTCACTGCCGGGCTCCTCGTTCCATGTGTAACACTCCAGTTCTTATCCGGATTGTGAGCAATCCATTTACTGCACATCTATTTTTCCTGAATAAACTAATTGGATATTACAGAAACATCAATCCAGGCGAGTTCACGTGGAGCTGAGTCCTGACTGCAGTGGTCCCGTTCCTACATGACAGACTTTTTCAAGCTAGGCCATATCTGTAACACATATGCTTGACGAGGATGACGTTTCGTGCTTTGCTACGGCATAATTTCGCATTCTAACACTCAAAGTCCACGTCTAGAGATGCCGAACCCACTTGAGGTATGTCATTCAGAGACTCGCCAAAAATACGCTATTTGAATTTTGTGCAAAGCATCTAATTCTCCGAGGGATGGTCCAAGTCCCACGGGATCCTTGACCCCTAAAAGTCTAGAGTTTGACAGATATCAGTGGATAAAACCACACTTGAAAAAAACAAAACAATCAAACTGAAACAAATATTTCTTGTGATGGTGCAAATTTCGTGTACATAGCGACAACATTACTTGTACAGACGAGTCAGAAAATATAAATAGAAATAAAAAATATCCTAACTACCGCATTGACTGTGAATGTTTCGGGCAGTAAAAACTCGAATTCACGCAACAAAAATCTCGTCGCAACTTTCTAATTGAGCCCTTTTTTTTTCAAAAAGAAAAAAGAAAACTTGTCCGACATGACTTTATCCTTGCTGATCGTCATAAAGAGTGCTGTAAGTCCGGGAACTCACGTAACAAACCTCCCGTTTCCATTTCGAAAAAGAAGAACATGGATAAGAAAAGGACTAATTGAGCGAGACAGAGAGAAAGAGGAAAGAAAAACAGATATATTGATTCCAAGCGCTACCACTGGAAAAAGTTGCGCACACCATGTGTTGAAACCGCTCGTAATATGATGCCGGAGGCTAGGGGATCGCATGTATCTTGCTCTCGATTGGGCTCATTGGTACAGCACCTCGTGCAAGGCCTGGACCACTGCTGTGGCTTTGGAGGTGAACCGGGAAGGGCTCACGCTAAAACGGGAAGCTGTCAAACTACTTGGACAGACACCCACAACCATCACGCGACTAATTTGGTGGCGCCCAGAATTTCGGAGATCCAGGGATGCCAGCGAAAATCCAAAGGGCGCCTCCACGATCAGCCCCCACTGCCAGTTAGGGTTTCCTTAGATCCTGTAGACAGGATGTTGCTAAAGCTGGGTGTGGTTGACAGATATCATGGGGATCACTGACCAACGGCTGACCTGCTGCTGTCCTTACAATTTCCTCAACTATTGATTTTGCCCTGTTTTTTTCTCTTACTATATCATTGCAAATCTTTGACATCTGCTTGTCACTACGACAAATGCAATCACGCACTGAGAGTGAGTGATTGCGAGTTAGATTAGGATTTCTTCCAAAATCAGGATTAAGACAATAATGACAACCCCGTATATTACATTGGTACTGTGATAACTCATAGTCTGTTCATATTTTTAGTATGGGGCAAAGATGGTAGTGCTCTGACAACTCAAGCAACGAGGACAAACTTTAATGCGATACCCAACAGCATTACTTTAATGTTTGGAAGAACAAACTGAACTTACGATTGATTGAAATTTGTTAATGCAAGAAAACTGAGTTGACAAAGGTGCGAAGGACATCGATCCACACCGTGCAGCAAAGGTAAGGTCCTCTTTTCTATGTACTCTCGAAGTTTCAAAGATTTGTTGCTTTAAAATCACAATTGTTTGGATTTAGCCAATGTTGATCAACAAGAGATGGAGCATAGGAGGGAATTTGTGGTTGCTGTTGGACTTTTAGTAGACAATTCACATGTCATTTTATTTTGAGCAACCGTTTGTGATGCTATGTAGAGAAATTGACTATTCATTTATATTAAGTTGATTACTTGATTGCAGATTATTTTTTTGGTTAATTCCAACATTATGAGAATGATAAAAAATTACAACTTTAACTATTATTTTAAAAAACTTTCCAAAGAATAGATATTCTAAGAATGAAATATAAATTTTGATTCATTTATATATATATATATATATATATATATATATGATAATAGCATTGTTTAAAGCTTTAATGACAACATTTATTTTTGTATCAATCTTGTATTGTATTGACTTCTCAAAGCCATTCATCTTAAAAACAGATGCATCAGACTTTGTCTTAGAGGCAATATTGTCACAAATAAGAACAAATGACAAACTCCACTAGATAGCTTTTCATTCTACAAAAATTTTAGCAATCAAAATCAACTATGAAATCCACAATAAAGAGCTTCTTGCAATTGTAGATTCATTTCAAGAATAGAATTATTATCTAGAATGCACTTTCAATCTAGTCACCATATATAAAAATCACAAGAATTATATATATTTCATACTAGTATATGTTTTGAATTGTTGCCAAACTCATTGGAACATGTCTTAATTAAAATTTGATTTTAAGATCACATATTGACTATAAAAACAATAAGGTTTGTCAAACATCCTTTCTAGATGTTCTTATTTTGCACCAAAAGAAGGAGATGTAGCTTTTGATCAATAAAGAATAATTCTTTTAAAGTCAAAGAAATTTTATCTTTAAGCAATGAAATCAATAGTGATTGTTGATTCAACCTTTTTTAAGTGAATTTAATTAAGTATGTTATTTATTTATTTATTTATTTTTGATATTAAGACTAATTCTTCAAAATTTTATGATACTTCAAAGTTTGAATTCAAGAATAATCTACTATATTTTTAGAGTCACTTATATATTTAAAAAAGTGAAGTACAATTGCATGTTTTTAAAACTTGTCATGATTTTCTAACAACAAGATATTTAATATATAATAAATCTTTGAAATTAATATCCAAAGATATTTTGTGTTTTCAAATGTAGAAGGCAATCAAAGAATTTATACAATCATGTGATATTTGTTCAAGATCAAAAATTCTTCATCATTGTTCATATAGACTTCTTTAGCCATTACTTATCCCAAAACAACTATGATCTTCTATTTCTATGGATTTTATTGTAGGTCTTCAATTCCAAGTTCTTATGATACTATATTTGTAATAGTAGATTGTTTCACCAAGATGGCATATTTTGTACCTCGTACAAAATTTATCACTAGGAAAGAAACAACAAAGTTTTTTCATGATAACATTTACTACTATCAAAGATTGCTAAAAGATATTATATTGGATAAAAGAATTCAATTTGTATTAAAATTTTAAAGGTAGATATTATAATATCTTTGGCTTTCTATCTTAAAATTGATGAATAAACAAAGTGTAAAAATCAAGTTTTGGAATAGTAATTAAAGTATAGCATCAACTACTAATAAAATAATTGGATAATTCTTTTTTCATTTGTAAAATTTGCTTAAAATAATAAAATATATTTGTCTATTTAATTTTTTTTTTGTTAATTATGATTATTATCTATAACTTGATATTTTTTTCTTTTTAAAAATTGATAGTCTTGCAATGGAAGATTTTACAAATTATTTATAAAAGCTACATAAAATAATGAAGATATAACTAAAAAAAGCTTAAGAACAACAAAAGACCAACGTGGATGCTTATTGTAAAGAACAACCTTAATTCCACATTGGCAATAAGGTATGGTTATTTTATCATAATATTAAGACTATCCTCTCTTATGACAAGTTAAATTATCATAGGCTTGGACCATTTTTTATTTGTAAACAAATTAATCCAATTGCTTATTGATTACATCTATTGGATTGTATAAAGATCCATCCCATATTTTACATGTCTCTTCTTGAGCTGTATCAAATAGTGAATATCTCAAAAAAAAAAGATAAATGCCACAATTTCAAATAAAAATCAATAATAATCAAGAGTATGAAGACCTATTAATCACCTTCAAAAGGAAGAAAGATGTAAGATGTAAATACTATTCATCGCTATTTTGATTTAACATTATACCATCTTTGAGTGACTTTTTAGTCTTTTCAAGTAATACAAGTATATAATGATTCTTTATTTTTTTGAGATTCATGTCCTTGATAGCATGTAAAAGAATAAAATCAACACAAAATTAGTTCTACTCATATTACTTTTAATAATATATTCACCACTTACTTCTATGTTTCATAGTTAAATGTATCACTTACCTATTTTACTTTAAATATTTTAATTTTATATAAATTTTGGCTTGAACTCTCGGCAAAGAATAGAAATATGATACAAGAAGTATTCTTACAGTAAAATCTTTGGATGATGTCTCAACCAATGTCATAATGTGTGATTAATTGTAAATTTGAATTGATAAGTTTGTAGTTACATTTATGAAATGTATAGAAATTTGAATGAAAAAATTTACAATTATTCTTGGTTACTTTTTATTAATTAAAAACATTAAAAATATCTCCAAATTTCCTTCCATATGTGCGTCTATTACAAACTGATAGGATTTTTAAGATGACAATTTATTTTAGATAGGAAAGAAGAGATCCCATCGAGCAGAATGTCACGACACAGCAACATCAGGAGCAGCAGGAAGGGAGATCCCGTCGAGCGGGACGCAATGACATAACAAAACAAGGATAGCATGAAAAAGAGTGATCCTTTCGAGCGGGATGTCAACGAGACGGCAAACAACGTGAACAGCAACAAAAGGGGAGATCAAATCAAACCGGATTATTGATGGCACAGCAACCAGTAGCAGCACGGAATCATCGACGAACAAGGGCACCGTAACACAAGACTAGAATCAAACAGGATACCGCAACACAGAACTAGAATTAAACAACAGGGCACCACAGCACCGAATTGGAGTCAAACAAGGGCACCAGATGGCAGGTCCACCACCAACAAAGCACAACTGCTGCAAGGAAG